CCCTCGGTGTTCGAAAAAAATTGGGCAGAGAAACCGTAGGGTCCCAAACATTCAGCTCAAAAGGGCTAAGGAAACTGAAGGGTAAAGCGAGCAACCCATGTTTGGGCAGTAACTCCGGGTCCCACAAAGGGATTGAAAGGCCCGACCTGGCCGAAATCCGCAGGGCTTGGGGCCCGAGTTGCCTTCGGCGGCCGTATCTGGGTCGACCCCTTTGCAACCTCTTGGCCGGGCTGTCCCCTGCTAAAAAGTGAATGACTTGTGGGCTAAATTCGGAAACCCCCACTAAACCAGCTAAATGCCTAAAACTGGGCATCGCCAAGTTGGTGTTTCAGTGTTTGGTGCATCGCCTTTGGGTCTCCATCCCAATGTCGATCCAAGTGCTTCATTACCCCCAAGCACTGCCACTCAGGCTTTTCAACTGGCAGCCGTGCCATCTGAAAGGCGGCCTTCAGAGCCGACAAAGCTAACTCTGACGAAACCAGGAGTAAACCGAGCGGTCCCCTAAACATCTAACTCTGACAAAACCAGGAGTAAAACCAGCAGCCGTTCAAGGCGGCCTTCACAGCCTAACAAGCTCACTCCGACGAAAGGTGCAAAACCCAGCGGTCCCCACCACGCCTGTAGCAGTAGAGGTTGCCCAGCTCCGTGACCGAGAGGCCGCGACCTTCAAAGAGCCCTGGCCGGCTGAGACTTCGAGAGTAGGGAAACCCCGCCGCGGCCGCGGCGGCAACTTTGTGTTCCCTCCAAAGTGCAGATGATCCGTGCGGTAAAGTGTTTTGTTCTTTTCTTTTTTAAGACAAAAAACAACTCCAGACATGTTTTGTTCTTCAGCGCATGCTAAAAAATCACTTTTGTTCACATTACGCTACGTTGCATTCCATGGCACGTCGCTGTGTGCGGAACGTTCCACCGTGCCAACCCCAAGGACGGGAGCCAACTAAGGTACCTGCCAGCATGGCTTTAGGTCCTGCCTAGATCAGAATAACCCTCCGGCGACCAAGAAGAGGGAAACAACCGCGAACCGCGTGGCGAGGACGTGGGGCGAGATGCCAGCAAATGCGACAACAAGCATGTAAACGCGTCGCCCTGCATAAAGGGTAGTCCCATTGAGTATGCGTCCTTGCTTCCCAAATTTATGGTAAAGTTAAGTCAGCGGCTCAAAAAAAAACAGGCAAGGCTCAACCAGAGTCGCAGGTCTCTTACATTCTGCCGAGCACAAAAGCGCTGAACTCGGGGGATTGAGAACAAATGGGTCTTGCAAATCGTTCATCTTTTAGGTCTAAAGCTGGAAAGTGGAGCAATCTTGGCCATCAAAACCCCGTTCAAACCTGCTTCAACCGCGCCAACAAACCGCCGTTCCCGGGCCTGCAAGCTGATGAAGCAGCATGTCCTGAACCAAAAGTCTTCGAATCAAAAGCTCCGGAGCCCGGCTCGTCTTCGTTTTGCCAGGGGATCGGAAGGAGGGAACGCCGCGATTCACCTCTCAGAACTGCGGAAAAATGGTCCACGGAAACAGCGGCCAACAGGTAAGGCGTTTTTTTTTTTTTGCATCGGGAGTCACTCCAAGCAGTCAGACAATGATTCTAAGAGCCAAACAAAACCAAGCACCATGTTTCCGAAACGCGACGTGTGAACCTTCATGGGCTGTGGATAAAACCGCACCGCCAAAGACGGGTGATCAATCGTGAAAGGCTGCGCCAGGAAGAATGAGTCACGTTCCCTTATGAAAACTACGCAACAGCTGGAACAGCTCAACAGAACAGCCCTCCGAACCCGTAACCTCTGGAACCTCCATTGCCGTGTTCTGTCAGCCGGAACCTCCACAAAACCTACCCCACCCCGGAGGAGCCGATTTCTGGGCAAAGTCGACCCCGAAGCTGAAGCAGCTGTTGGGGAAAAACATGCTGGGAAAGCCATGGTACCGACCAATGAACATGGAACCTGACGTTTGCGGGGCCCGGTCCCTTTAAAAAGAAAATGGTCCAAACCAGAACTCCTCTGTCAGGTTCCATGTTGATTGGTGGGAGGGCACCCCGAAAACAAGACACGGCCGTATGGTGGACCCCTTGTTTAGTTTCAAGGAAACAATCGGGGACCTCAGATTGAAACATATGGAAACCAGTGCCGCCTATCTACCGATCGCACCCGCCTGTTTCCTGCTTCATTCCTGCCCTCGATTGAATTCAAGTCAACTTGAAAGCAGAAAGCATTTACAATAACTTCCAAACCCTGAACTACTGAAATAAGACATCCCCGGGTGAAGGGTCTACATCATGGTGAGCTCGTTCTACCCGTGAGCTCACCCAAAAAAACAGAAAAAAGGCGGAATTCCATACTGCCCAAATCTCCCGCAAGGCGTCCGAAAACCGCCAAGTCCCGCTCGCCGGCCCCGAAGCCGTCCTTAGAGATCTCCAGGGTCATCGTCAACGCATCGCCCGCCTTGACGCCATAAGATCCCAGTTGGCACTGGCCTGGCCGGGGCTGACCACGCTCCGACGCCACAAGCAACCAAGGAGCACAGGTGGCCTTTTGGCAAAATAGATGGCCCTGGTAAATGGAAGGAACCATATCTAAACCAGTGCCATCGATTTTGAACAAAACCAACCCAGAAAGGACACCTATGCCAAGGAGCAGTATTGTGGGAATTGGGGCTTGGTTCCCATGGAACCTCCCCTTTACGTTAGGAACACTTCATTGGAAAGGCCGTGGCCTCGTAAAAGTCAACGATTCTCGCAATACGGAAACCCGGTGCCCTCTCAAGGCCCGCCCTGGCGCGTGCCACAGGCGTTCTTTTGGGGCCATGCTTCTCAAGCTGAGCTTGACTCCCACGATTCAAAGGCAAGCGCCCGTTCATGCACAGCCTCCCTGGGCAGTTGCCACTTGAACAAACTTGGCTGGAATTAGGACCCCAGCAAAAAAATATCTTTTTTTGCCTGGTGAGTGGAAAACAAAGGGAACCCCGCCCCCCCAAAAAAACGGGAGCTAATTCTGGGGAAGCAAACAGATGTCATCAGTTTCGGGGGGTGCCCTTGGCTTGGTTGACGCTCGTCGACTCGTCACGCGGATACTTCTCAGTTTCGGGCGATATCGGGTGACTGGACTGACCGTATGTGACTCATCCAAGTTGAAGATGAAACACGGGGCAGGACCTGCCTCACGGACGGCGTCCTTTGTTTTTTTGCATGCTCTGGCCTGCTAGCACTTGGTCCGCGAGAGTCACTTGCGCTGCCTGGGAGGACGAGTCGGAGACAGGCTCCAAAAAATGATGAAGTGTCTGACACTTGTCTTCATTTAAAGACTCGCACAAGCCTGAACAGCAACCGTCTGTAGAGAATGCTTTTTGGCGGGCCTGCTTTTGGTTCCATGGCACCTCTCAAAATGGCGAGCTGGCCAAACCAAAGCCATCATCCTTGTACTCAAAGCAAAGATCTTTGGGACTAGATGGAGTACTTGTCAGAAATTTAGGTGTGACTTGCCTAGTGGCTATGGTAAGATTGGACAACTGCGCCTGTCTCTTGTGTGCTTCGTTCTCATCCTAAGCACATCCGAAGCCCTTCACCGGAGTCTGCCAACATCCCCGGAACCTTCCCAGCATTGGCATCGATCCGGTCGAGTTGGCCCCCAACCCACCCCCAGGGACCAAGAAAAAATCCCGAGCCCCTTTCCCCCCTGCAAAAACAGCAATCAACCCGCATGTGGCTGTGGGTCAAAAATAGGTACCCAACCGTGTGGCATGGTGCTTTTGGGTGGCTGGGGGTTTGGTTTTTGGAGGCCATGCGGGTTGATTGCTGTTTTGCAGGGGGGAATGGACCGCAGGTTAAATCGTCCTTGGTTCCATTTACCAGGGTTGCATGGCAAAACCACACACCCGGCCCTCCCATCCGACGCAGCGGGGTCTTTTTGCCACCTTTCGTGGAAATTGATCGACCCCCTCGTAGTGAAGGATTCATTGTTGAGGGAAATGGTCGCTTCCTTCCTTCCTTCATCTCTTCCTTCTTTCCTTCCTTTCCCTCCCTCCTTCCTTCCCCCAATCTTCAAAGCCAAAAGGTGGCAAACCGAGCCCCTGATCCGCCTTCGCCCCCGCCCCCGAACCCCGAACCGCGCCGTCGACTCTCGGCGCCTCGAAGGGGATCAGCTCCGCCTCCAGCAGCCGGCGCTGCAGCTGCTGCACCGTGGAGCCGCTCTGCACCAGCAGCGCCTTGCTGACCTCCACCGCCTCGGGCTTCGGCTGCGGCTTCGTTTCGGGCGGAGGAAGAGCTGGTTCTGCCTCCCCACACGGGGAGGAGCCATGGAGCCGTGAGGTATGAAGATATTTAAAAAAAAGGGCCACTCGGTCCTATAAACTTGCTTTCGCGGACCCTTTCGCGATGCTTTCGCGCCCCCATGTTTTGCTTTCGCGGGTTTTGGATTCTTTAGAATTCCTTTCGCGACGCTTACGCGGCGGACCGTCACACAGCATGCAGGCTTTCGCGGGTCTTTCGCGGCGGGACCTTCTTGGTTCCTGTCGCGATAAGCTTTCGCAAGCTTTCGCGGCCTGCGTTTTGGCTTTCGCAGGGATTCTATAGGACACCCCCCCTTTAGTACTTTGTATTGTCAGGGTTTATGGCGCTGCTCAATTCACAACGGAAGTTTAGAAGGAATCTTCCGTGGTACGGCAACTAGCTGAAAGCTAACTCTCTGAGACAAACGGCAAACAAAAAGAGAGAATAAGCACGCGGCGCGCATGATGCATGCGGCGGGGGAATCGAAATGCTTAAACACTGCGGCCCTCTGCGAGTGTCGGTTCCTTAACATCTCTACTCTTGGTATGGTAGCAAAAAAGCTGCGTTTTTTTTTGTTGCAAACCCCAGTAAAAATGAACAGAACCAAAAAACTAAAAATCATGCAAAGAACGGTGAAGTTAAGCTGCTCGAAAGATAGCCGGATCGCGGCGGGTCAGAGCGTGGTCGGAGCGATCGCTCAGAGCGATCGCTCAAGGCAGATTTCTCGGCAGGCGTAGAGAGATTGAGAGATTGCCGGGGAGAAATAGATGAGTAGATAAATAGGAACAATAGACGGAGAGATATATGAGATAGATTAGATAATATGATAGATAGATGGGATAGGAAGATAGGCTAGGGTAGGATGGGATAGGATAGGTGGATAGGTAGACACATAGATCGATAGATGGATAGAGGGAAAGATCGAACGAAGATAAAGACAATGACAAACAAGAGAATGTCAAAAGAATAAGAGAAAGAAACAACTAGAGAAAGAGAGAAAGAGAGAGCGAGAGAGGAAGAAAAGAAAGAGAAATCGACAGAGAACTTGTATAAGTGGCTGTTGCTTCGGCACAAGCAAACCCATACCTGCAAATGCCCGGCAAAACAGAAGCTTGCCAAACGCAAACCCACTTTAAGTGCTCCTGTGCACGAATTTTGCCTGGATAGATTGGAGGGACCCCGGAGCTCGCTCGCTACGTCTGGGGAACAGGGCGAGCGCGACAGGTGCTCCCCAGTTTGGGCCGACTTTGATGTGCCAGGACCAGTGTTTGGAGTAAGCCCCGAAAAGAAGTGGGAGAACCTCCCACTCCCACAAAGGCGGCGCGTGTTTGGCGTCAGCCCGGGTACACCCCCGGAAAAAAAAAAAATCACTCCCGCTTCCTATTTCGCCCAAAGACAAGTTCTAGGTCCTCCCGTAGTTTGAGAGGTTAGAATAGGGTACCGTTTCTTTTTTCCCTAGTCTATTTTAGTAGGGGAACCGAATCTTCCAACCAAAAACAGGGGTGAGAACAGGCACTACTGGGGGGCCTGGTCTAGCTGGAAAATGAGGAATCCTGAAGGAGTGAGCGTGATTACCCAGAGCTCGGCATGTTTTGGGAGGGAATCCTCTTGGGGAGTCCGCTACATCAGGCCCCAGGCTTGGGTCACTGCTACCTGTACCTGCGACACACGAAAAGGGAAACAAAAAGCAGACCAGTCCTATCAGGATGGGCTGTCACATAAGGTGACTTCCTGTTGAATTGGTCTTTGAAGGGGCGCCAGGAAACACACAATGCTCGAAAGCTCTATCCCCAAGATTGAATCGGTGGTTTTCTTTAAGTTCTCCTGTAAAAACCGCCCAAAAACGGTTAATACCAGCTCAAAAAAGGCGTGACGCCCATCTGATTGCACGGCCTACATGATGCCTACATGCAAAAAACAACAACAACAAAAACGGATCTTGTCTCCAAGGGGCGTTGCCCAGCGTACTCTTCACCCGAAGGCAGGCGTTGATGCTGAAAGGCTTCTCCTTCTCCTTCTCCTTCTCTAGCTTCTCCTCCTCAAAGCCCTGGGCTTGCGAAAAGGCTCCATTACAAACCTGGAGAACAGTTGTTCTTCATGGGTCTGGCAAAGCAAAGCGAAATCGGTAGCAGTGGCTCCATTACAAAACCAAGCTTGTGCCTTTTCACGGGTCTGGCAACAGAAAGCGAAATCAGTGGTGGCGTCCCATGTGACTGTTGCACTTTGGTTGGGAGTCTTGGCCAAAAGCGGCCGCCAAAAAACCTTGCCTAACCCCAGGGGTCACCAGAAAACCCGCCGGAACAGGTTGCAATTTGCCGGTGGTTTCCCTTGCCCACTTTTGGAGGTTCCCTTAGGGAAACGGCTCGGAAACCCTGTAACCATGCTGATACAACACCGCATCCAAGCAGATGAGGTGCCAAAAGGCAGCGCAGGTTCTTGGTGAGAAGGTTGCTTCGCATCGCGCACTGAGACAAAACAAGAGCGGTGACCCCATATTACTCGATTGTTTTTTGCTCCCCTGCTAAAGTTCCTTTAGTGGGTTAATGGGAAAACCCATTAGTTGGCAAATAAGTTAAAGTCCTAACATGCAAGCAAAATGCACCCAGGGTTTATCAACCCCAGTCTATTAACACTTCTGGCACGGTGTCAGTGCTTCGAACGTGAGAGCGTGCCAAAAGCTTCTCAAAGCTTGCCGCCCGACATGTTTGTTGCTTTCCTCGAAGATGGTGTCCACTTCCTTCAGGGGAAAGCAGGTCGGATATCCGTTTTCAAGCTATGAAGGGGTTGTATATCCCATATAACCTCTGGGGGTGAACTTTTGTTGAGGACCATCGAAGATTTCCACACCTTTTCAGTCCAGGACGTTGCCTGAAGTCACAAGCCCGAAACATGTTGTTTTTCTTCTTCTTCTTCTTCTTCTTCTTCTTCTTCTTTTTCCTGGGGGCCATGGGGGCACGTCAGGCATTGTGCTGCGTTGTCTCAACCGGCCCCCCAATGTTGACCCCATATGAATCAATCCCAGTTTATGCCTGCGTTTAGTGGGGAATCATCACTATTGGAGGGGAACACACCCCCCACATATAACTTCCATTTGCTTAAGCCCGAAAGAAAAACAAAATCTGTCCAGTAGTGATACATTCCCTTTAAAACCAACAAGGGAAAATAGCAAGTATTCTTAAGCAAATGGAAGATAAGTGTTGTTTTAAGGCCACAAAAATACGCCCATATGAACAGGTGATGTTCTGGTTTCAATGTGCAACGCCTGCACTGCTTAGGGAATCCAGAACATGCTCTCCCCCCTCCCCCGCCCCCTCTTGACAAGCCCAGCTGCAGTGCAGGAGACCAGACCTTAGCGAGATGCTTTCTGCTGCTCCGGCGACTGAGGTCAAGTGCCTATGAAGGGTCAGTCCGTGTCAAAGCCATGCCCCTGACTAAGAACCAGCAAGCCAATAAGCAAGACACAGTGCCTCCAGCTTCCTGCAAGAACCGACCTTCTTGTCATTTGACAACATTCTGCAGCTCAAGATGCCTGACACACATAAAAGAACTCCACTTTCTGCAAGCCTAAAGAGAAACCCAAAAGCGTGGTCCTCCAAAAATTGGTTCCACGTGTTTGACATGCTGCATAGAGCCTTCGAATTTCTAAAGCCTCCCGAAGCCATTCGACGGCTACTCGGAAAGGCTTCCGAAAGACACCATGGCAAAAACAACACCTCAGGGATGGGTCGTCCAAATGGCTGTGGCTTCCCTTTTTTGAGGAGAAGGAAGCCACCCTTTTAGAAGGACGCCGTGCCCCGAAGTTTGATGGAACTGATGTTCAGCTTCTTTCTGGTCAAAGGTTTGGACCAGGGCTGTGGAGAAAGGGCTTCCCAAAGACGAATCCCCCCTTAAGGGGAGATTCCAACTTGTATCACGGAAGTGGTTGGACAAACCCCTTGATCCCGCAATGGTCCGGAGCCAGGCGGTTTGGAGACGGGTGGTTTAACGGTTTGGTGGTGCTCCGGGGTGGGAAAAGCCCCCATTCACCCACCAGAACCAGAGCTCCAGAGCTCCGAAGCCAAACCCCCGGGCTCCGAACCGACCTGGCAGGTTCTCTGAGTGTGGCCGTGGGTCCAAAAAAAAGGTACCCAACAGGTTTTTGTTGGTTTCTCCTGGTGAAACAAGGGCTAAAACCTGTCCATGTTTTTTCGATGGTTTGACTCGTCCAGCTGAGATTTTACAAAAAAAAAGTTGGCCGCGCCGCCGGACTCCGCCACGGAGAACTGCTTCTGCTCGCCCAGGAACTCCGAGAGACTGCCCTGGAAGCCCAGGATGGACAAGGCGTGCTTCACCGTCCTCGGGGATTTCCGCATCGCTGCGTCACCAGATGGGCGGCTCGGCGTTTGTTTCGTCCTTTTCTTTTCTTTCTTTCGGGTTCCGGGACCCCACAAGTGGCTGCGGCTTCTTTTTTGGTCTCTGTTTTTTGACCACCAAAAATGGGGTACCGTCGGAGAAAGACCTGGAATCCATGAGGACAGGAGTCGCTGGATTTCCCCTTCAGAAGCTGCCATGTGCTGGTGTCTATTGAAACTGCCACTTTTCGCTGCCACTTTTGGAGGTTCCAAAAAGGGCTAAGGTTCCAGGTGTGAGGTCCCGGGTCGACAAGGAGCGCCGCTTGCCGTGGAGCTGAGTTCTTTTCCGGCCACGACGTCCTTTGCGGTTCCAGGTTCAGTCCCGGCCAAGGCCGGTTGCAATTTCAGCGATGGAACCCAGAGGCTTTCTGGGAAAATTGCAGACCACCCCGCTGCTTGAACCCGGAACCTCCGGAACCCACTGTTTGAACCCTCCAGAGCTCCCCCGAGGCTGAGACCCCTTAGCTTTCAGCTGTTGGGGAAATCTATTGACCACCACAAGGGAAACAAAAACCCGCAAGAAGCCGTTTGGCGCCCGCCTCCGTTTGGACGCCGTTTCTTGTGATGCCGGATGCCGGATTCCCAGCCACGGCTCATCAGCCTGCCCTCCCTCAGCTCACTACTGGAAAACCCGGGTGCCGAAGACAGAGCTCGCACTGAAAGTTGTCGCTTGGTTTCCTCTTGGCGCCCTCTTTTGAAACAGGGAAAGGACGACCGAACAGGAACGTCCCAAGGGCGAGGTCCTGCCCTTGAAAAGACAAAAGAATGAACCTGGCGTTTGGATGCGCCATGGCGAGTCCATCCCAGAAAACGGGCGAGCGGGCCCAGGGACAAAGACGGCGAGACCTTCATAAACCTCCGGGTCCCTGTGAAGCGCCTCTCCGTAGAAATCAACTTGTGGCCCACTCACGCCATAGGTGACCTTCTGGAAAAATCGCTGGATTCTTTCTGGTACATGCGGCATACAACCTCGCCAAAAACCCCGTGGAACCCCCTGCATCTCTATCCAAACCCACCCAAAAGCACACCTGCGACGCTTTCGGCGAGGCGCGCGCCGTGCTTGTGGCTGTAGAGCAGGGCCAGCTCCACCACCGGCACGGCACGAGCCTGTTCGAAGCCAAGCCGCAACCGCAACGTGAGCGTCACCGCTGGAAGGCCCCCCTGCAAAACCCAAAGCCTGTGCAGGGCTTTTGCACGGAGACCCTTTTAACCGGGGGTGATCCAAAGGAGATGCAAGGAACATGCGACATGTCGGGTTCCTTCTGAAGAGCTCTTGGTTTCCGGAAAGAACAATTCCCCATCTCTCTGCTGGAGAGTGTGACCTGTGACACTCAGAAAACGACGAGCTCCCCCAGAAAAGTCGCATGCAGCGATTTTGGAGACCCCGTTCTGTTGGGTTGTTTCAGTGTCCCCCCAAACTTTTTGGAACCGCCTTATTTGTTTCCCCAGGCGCAGATGTCGAATGCCATGCCATCGCTCTGGCAAATGCCGGGTGGCTGGGAAACGCATGTCAAAAATGGCACCCAGAAAGGTAAGGTTGAATCACCACGATTCGGGGAAATGCCCGCTACTCGTGCATGTCCCAGCCCAAAACCATGCTTTCCGTGGCGTGGCCCCAGCTTTTCTAGCTTCTTTCACTCAGAAAATGGATTCCACAAAAAGCACTGAGACTCAATAACACCCAATGAAACTCGAATTCGACGTCCTTCTTGAAGCAGAAACCCCCGGGGCGGAAACAAAATATGTTTATTTGATTTTTTTTTTTTTTATGTTTATTTGAATTGAAAAAATGTTATTTGCATTTAAAAAAAAAAATGCAGAAGAAACCAAAAAGACCACCCCTCGCTCGCTCGCGCCTTAAGCAACTCCGCCAGTTGGATGCAAAAGGCGCGGCTCGTGGCACGCACGATGAGGCGCAGGCTTACATCCCCCAACATCTCCAGCCTGGCGCGATCGGAGGGACTGGTAACCTTCAACTCCCCGAATGTTGGGCAGACAGCCCCCTATTCATAGGGGTTGATTTTGGCTTCCTTGGCCGTTTAATTACAAGCTTCAGGGGTTCAAATCCCCAGTTCCCACCAATCCAAAGCACCAACTGGGGGATACTTGACCGTATCTTCGCAACAAGGGTGCCTCCATAATTTGTTGGAGCCAAACTGTTGAAGAAAAATGGTCCAAGGGGGGGGGAGTTCCCTAAGACTAAGCCAATGGAACCCTAAAGAACGCGAAAGAGCTCTCAGTCTCTGTTTTGTTGAGAGCGGGAGGGGCAAACATGAAGCGAATAAAGACTGAAGCCCCGAAACGGAGAAAAACAAGGGGGTCCCAATCCCATCCAACAAAAAAACACAGGGGGACGAAAAAACACTCTCTTGGAAATGTGGCGGGGGGGATGTATCAACCGGACAGGTTTCCCGTTTTTCCCCCGAGGCTTTGGGGAGGCTTCGGGGCCGCTGAGTTCTTAGTCGACACCCTGGACCTGGCTCCATGGGCTTTTGAATCCAAATCGCTTAGGTTCCAGTGAACATCCGATTCAACCCAACCACTAAAGTAGGTTCGAACATTTGGGTTTCTGCATGTACCAGGTGGTTGGTATATCCTTCAACCTTGGTCGACGTTGGAAGGGGAGCAAAAAGTCATTATTTTTTAGCAGGTAAGTGGAGATTTCAAGCACGAAACCACAATAAGCAAAAATGTAAAGAGTGTCCCAGCAACAACCATGGAGATATGGAAGCTGCAAGGAACAAATCCTCTGGTCGCCTCTGCTCGTCTTCCAGAGTCTTTCCATCGAGCTGCAGCTCCTCCCACGCGGCAAAATCAATGAACAAACTTTGCCAGTGTGACAGGTTCCCTTTAAAACCAACAGGGGAAAACTGGGGGAAAATGCAACGTATTATTCTAAGCAAAAGCAAAGGGGTTGAACATCGCTCGGGCATCAACATGGCGTGTGGCAACTTCTGCCTCGCGCGCATGCCGAAGCTGCACGGGCGATCAAGCACAGCCTTGTTCTAAACCTGGGTGCCGAAGCTTCGTGCAAAGATCACCGGGCACAAAAAAACACATAACCTGGGCTGTTCAAAATGGAGGGTTGGCGAATCCCAATCTATAATTTCCTGTATGGAAAACACTGCAAAAAGGGATCCCTTGCGTAACCGAAGGCAAGGATTGAGGATTGAACAGCCCAAATGACCCGATGCACCCTTCTAAGAAACTCCTGAGGTTCTTTGGTGTTCTTTCCAAGCAGGATGTCTGAAGAAAACACATAGAACAACGGAAGTACGCGGGAACAGGTGCTGGTTGCAAAGTTGACTGGCCAGAGAAGTGTTGAGGTGTTGTTTCAGGGTGGAAAAGACCTGCGCTGCCCACCACCCTCAGCGTTGCGTCTTTGGAGGGAACCTTCTGGGTGCTTTTTCCAAGGGAAACCAAACAGGAAGGCCGCCATGTTGTTGGCCGTCCGATTCTGACAACAAATAAGCAAAGCATATGACGACCGTCCGGCGGGCGTGGGAAAGCCTTCCCAACAGTGACTACGCGCCGCACTACGCATGATCCGAACCAAAGACCTGTCTAAAATGGGAAGAACCCCTCTAAAAAAGAGAGGTTCCTTTCAACCAAGGAACCAAGCATGAACACGCTTCCTGGTCCGGGAAGGGCAGGGGCTCCACGAGCGCCACGCGCTGCTTCAGGCGCTTCACCGTGTCGCTGGGCTTGACCACCAAAGTCAGGCGACTGCCTGCGGGGGTCACCACGTTTCTGTGGTCAGGAGAAAAAAAAACAAGCACCCATTCTTGGCCGAGTATTCCGCTGGTTTGGTCTTTTTTGGCTGGGTTGCTCTTTTGGCCGATTAGAATTTTTGACCGAACGCATTGCGAAGGGTTCTTCCAGGGTGGGACCGTCGGCACTGCTACGGATTGCATGAACTACTTTTGTCGACCTCTTAACATGCCCCCGCGCAACGCTCAAAGGGGATCGGAGTGGTCGATGTGCCAAAACTGAGGACTTGTGCGTTTTGCGCGCTGCCCCTGGCTTTGCGGGAGCGTCAAAGATCCGAGCGTTTGTTGATGTGGTCGGACTCAAGAACTGGAGGTGTTGCTACTTGTTCTGCTCGTCGCGCAACCCTGGGGGCTGAAGGCCGGAAGCAGGCCAAAAGTTTGTGTCGTGGTTTGCGCGCGCTGCTCTTGCAAGTTAGAAAGCGATCCAAAAGTTGATGAACCAATCTGGAATCTGGAAGCTGATTTTGATCATTTTTGGGGGGGTGCCACCATCTCAGTGAACGCCTTTTTTTTATTCCACATCCCACAGCGCGACACACCCAAAATAGCAAGCTCATGAGCAAGCCCATGAGGCCAAAAATCGTGTTCTCGGCTGCCACATGGACTCTGAGGCCAAAGAAAAAATAGAAAGGACACAGCCCCCCCTCAAACATCCCTTGTGGGTGTTCGGACTGCACATTTAGCACTGGCTAGAAATTGTAACTTGTAAGTGTGAATGCAACACACGAAGTCCGGCTAGAAATTCGCAACAAAAAGTACAAAGGCTAGAAATTGCAACTTGTAAGTGTGAATGCAACACGCGAAGTCCGGCTAGAAATTCGCAACTAAAAGTACAAAAGAAGAATGGAGTGAAAGGAAAATCGCACAGTATTGGGGGCAGCGCTGCATGCTGCGCAGAGAGCTTGCTTAGACACGCTAGCTCCTTTCTCGTTGGTTAGCTTTGTTTTGGTTGGCTCTTTGTCGGTTAGTCTTTTTGGTTGTTTTGGTCTTTTTTTAGTTGGGCTTTTTTTCTGGCTGGTTTACGCTTTTTCTTTGGTTAGCTCGCTTTTGTTGGTTAGCATCTTGTTTTGTCTTGCTTGGGCAGCTCTATTTTTGGCGGTTGGCTCTTCTTGGGTCGGCTTCGTCTTTTTTCGAGCTACTGGCGTACGCCCAGTTCGCTGGACCTTCGGGATAGCACTGCACCGAAGAGGTAGGCAATCAAGAAAGAGCAGGCCAGCAGAACCAAAGACACAACCTTCACCAGGTATCAACCCGTAAGGCTACCAGTACGCGGCCACGCCAAATAGCCTCACACTCAACTACACAATCACTCTTCTGCACTTCGGACACAAGTGCCTCATGGCAAACTCATAGAACGCGAGGAAATACAAGCGTTCTGCGGGTGGCGTATCTGGAAGTTCTCGGCGAGGATGCGCTTGCATCCTTCCTTCTTCCTAGACTTCCTTGGACCGAACACAGCCACGCGCGCAGGTTGGAGCCCATCATTGCGCAGCAAGACTCGGCCACTTCAGAGGCAGGACCTGCCAGGGAGGCAGGGCCAGGGGAGGCGCGGGCTGTGGAGGACTTTGCGCCGAGCTTGCAAGGTTCGGTCTGGCCACTCTGCCTCAGAGGCGTTTGCAAAGCCAGTAGAGCCTGGGTCCTGACTGCTCATCCTCCTCCTCTCCGGTGGGTCTTGCACTTCTCGCAAAACATACGGCTTCCACGGTCGCCCTGACCTGCTTCCACGGTCGCCCTGACCTGCTTCCACTGGATCATCCTCTATATGTTCTGCTGCTGCCACGCTTGCTGCTTCGTCTGCTGGCCACCAGTTCGCCTCATGTTCAGCAGCAAGGCACTGTGTCTTCTTGATTTTCGATCCATCTGCGGGGGGCTTTGGTGCCATAATCACCCCATGGTTCGTCAGCCATAAGCACATTTGTGCACCCTTGCAAGAAAACTTAGTTGGGAGGGTGCTGCATATGACTTGCCCCCTGAGCATGGGCTCTCTCAGAAGCCTTGGCAGCTGCCAAAACGACGCACAAGATCTCGAAGCGGCCGTGTGGGATCAAGCGCATAACCGATCTGGGCTCCTAAAGCTCACGCAAAAAGGCAAGTTTGCGGTTACAGCCCGGAAGTTGTCCCGCCAGAATCCCATACCCTTGCGCAAATGCTGATAAATCTGAGAAGATGTCATCTGAAGCATCTAAGAACTGCGCGTTGGAGCGATGTGCGTCTCGATTGCGTTGCCCGCTGCTTGCTGGAGGAACTTGCTGGCAACATCCTGCCGTGCCGTTTTTGAAGGGCTAGATTCATCATCGGAAATTGCCAGAGTTGCGGGCACCATAGCGCCCACAAAATCGGCTATGAGAATAAACATGCAAGGAAAATAAGGATGTATGACAGACTGACTAACTCGGGCCCAAGCTTGAGCCATAGTCATTTGTTGGCTTTTGCTGGTTACTTGATCTTGGCTCTTTTTTGATTGATTAGCTCTTTTTTGGCCGCCTAACTCTTTTGTTGGTTCGATAGCTCTGCTTTACTTCTTCGTTGGTTGGCTCTTTCTCTTTTTGGTTGCTTGTTTTGGGTTGCTTGTTCTTTTGTGGTTGGGGCGCTCTTTTCTGGTTGGTTAGCTCTGTTTTAATTGCCTGCTTTTCTAGTGGGGGCGCTCTTTTCTGGTTGGTTAGTTGGTTTTTGTCTGCTTGCTTAGCTCTTTTTTGGTTGGTTAGCTTTTGTTCTTTTCTGCTTGCTTAGCTCTTTTTTGGTTGGTTGGCCTTTTTGTTGCGCTCTGAGTTGCATGGTAACTCCACCGCAAATGCGCCGAAATTGTCCCAGGAGGCGTTGGTGTGGCTTTGCTTGGATCCATACTATGCCAGGGAGTTCCATACATTCCGTCTTTGAGCATCAGAGGGAACGCTCACCCCAAACAAGGCCCTGAGCGCATCTTCAGTTGGGGCACAAGCTCGTCAGCGGAAGAGCCAGGTTGGGTTGCTATGACGGATCCAGCCATGCTCAAAATGCACCAAATCATCCGCAGTGGGTACGAACTGGGCGTTTCTAGGGCTCCCTCGCCAGCCACAACGCGTCAATTTCAAGAAGGCGTCGGCTCCGCTGAATAACCAAATCAGGTGTTCTGGCAAACCACGGGGAAAAAATGATCTTTCCTTCGCCAGGGGCTGAGGTGCCACCGTCCAAACTTGACACCAGCCCCGCCAAAGCGGCTGCAACCGAGTGACCTGCTTCGGTTTTGACCTGGCACGATCCAAACCCAAGACCCCCGAGGCCCTGCACCGAAGCTTTGCCCCACTGGAAGTCACCGGAAGCGACCCCTGCTCCAAACATCGATGCATTCGTGGAGTTCACTGGCCAAACCTCTGATGCTTTCTCGGGGTCAAAGCGTCTAGGGTTCAAGCCCCGTTAAAAGAATGGCAAGGACACAACTTTGGATGATGACAAACCATGGTGCTTATATGACCAGCGTGTTCATGGTGGTTCGAACTTCAGGGCGGTGCCGTTGCCACCGCCTCCCCTCAGACCCCTCAGATCCCGCGAGCCGATGTGGGCCTTGCCGGTCACGAATTCGATGTCCACAGTGACCTTCATGGAATGGAATTTGCCAAGCGAACCTGCAGGCAGGCGTGTCTCAAAGACTTGACACAAGAGGGGCACGACAAGAGCGAATATTCCTCTCCGGCGAAGACGCACGTAGAATCCCAAAGGGGGGGGTCCTGCATAGACATTGCTACGTTTGGGGCTCGATGTTTGTTCTTGCCGCGTGCCCCTACCAGCCATTGCCAAGCCCGAATTCTGAGCTTTTCAGGGCTGGGCAAGCAACCGTCTGGGCCCTTCCTGAAACAGGAGGCCCTCTCAATTGTCCGTGGTGTTTCCTTTCGGCCCCCGTACTCGCAAGGCCATACGTTCTCTGAACGGCTCGCCTCTATGACTTTGCTGCTGCTAGTTCCCAATGTGGCTGGCACAAACTGGCCTCAAAGGGGATTCGTTCAGAACATCTGCACCCCGAGCTTACCCCATCGGGGTTCAATCTGAAGGTCGGATGTCAAGATGCTAGCTTCTCTGAAGCTTATGCTCAATCCCCTTCTCGCTGCTTCAACTTCTGCTGGCAACCTTCGACTGCAGAAAATCCAAACAGGGTATCAACTTGGTTGCTGTTGACCACCCTCTCCGGTTCCCTGCCCCATCCCCTTTCTGAAACAAAGTGAATTGACTAGAGATCAATAGAAATCAAAACTTGTGCCAAGAACAAACAAGAGTTGACCTCAAGCGAGGGCCTCCAAAAGCTTCTTCTGGGACTTGAAAGCTGGGCCCTGGCATTTCCCAATTTCTCGTGGGCTTTCAAGGGAAACCAAGAGGAAGACCACCACTCACTGCCTGAGTGGATGGCCAAAAAAAAACCTAAACTTTACATTTACCACCAAAATGGTCTTCCCAAAAAGTTTAAAGATCATGAACTCAGGAAGACCACCATTTTAAGGAGGGGCCCCTTTAAAAAAAGAACCGCGGGGTCGCTCCGACATTAGGAGGGAACTTGTCCAGCAACAGCGGAATCTGAATGGCATGGGGTCCAAACAGAGATGCGGCTATTCTCTATTTCAAGTTCTAGGATGCTCACCTGCAAATTACATGTAAATGTCCCTTGGTGCGCGACCTGAGCCCGTTTATGATAGACCCCAAATAAAAAGGGCTCCCGACTTTTTATGAGCCCCCCCCAATCCCAACCCCCAGCCCCCCAACCCCTCAGCCCCCCAAACCTCAGCCCCCCAACCCCCCCAACCCCCCAACCCCCCCCGCCTGGCGGAGTTTCTTTTTGGGGTTTGGCACTGGCGCGTGCCTGGCGGATCCCGGTTTGACCGGATCGAGTGTGCATGGCCTCGAGCGGTACATATTTCCTTGCGGCAGTTGCCGAACAAACTAGAACAGGGCTGTGGGGAATGGAACCCACTTCCGTGATACAACAGAAAGGGGCTAACCCCAAAGACTATGTTCTTCATATAAAGGGGGATTCCAACTTGTATCGCAGAAGTGGGGAGAACCCCCTGGATCCCAGGACCCTCTCCCCGGTTTTGCGAAAAACCCGGTGGTTGGCAAAACGCTAAAGTCCTGACTTCCAAGCAACATGCGCCAATGTTGACCCCGGATTAATAACCCCCTGTTTATTGATATGGGAGTGTTCCCCTCCAAAAGTGATAAATTCCTACTACTGGCAAACAGGGGTTGATGAATCTGGGGTCAACATTGTCCTCAATCGCTTCGCTTTCCCGCCTAGATAACCTCTTCACACGCTCCTGCAAGTTTCTCTTGAGGGCATGCCGTTTGCCCTGGCCATGTCAAAAATGCCGATGTTTAAACATCCATGGGAGAAATACAAAGGAAAACCGATTTGAACCAATATCGCTCATTCTGTTTACGGCTCCGAATCTTTCGTTGTTCCCAAGGGAAAAAGACTTGGTTGACGCCAAAAGTTTGACTTTCTGTGCCCCGCATGATGATGGTCCGTTTACGTGGCCGGTGGCTGCACCACTTTGACTTTCTGGGGGTCTAGTGGAAACAACCTTGATTTCAACCAAAAAGCTAAAGTCTAAATATCCAACCCAATAACAGTCAAGAAGAAAGGGGCGCAGACCCTTGAAATGACCTGGACATCTCTTCCAGGGGCACAAGCGATGCAAGGGTGGCCCACCCGGGGCACCAGGAAGTTCCGGCCGGCCATAGATGAGAGGTGCTGAGGCGTTCATAGATCTGGGTGAATTCTTATATTTCGCCAACCTGACCTAAGGTGGTTGGGGGGCTATTCCCCACCTAATCCATTTGGGGTGAGTTTCGGTCGTGTGAGGTCGTTATGATTCACCCACCCGGGAAAACCTGCGGGAAACGTTTGGTTCAAATCCCAAACCACCAATCCAAACCACCAACGGCGACAGATCCTTGATGGATGCATCCAAAAAACGGACAAGGGGTCCTTCAAAACAACAAATGGCAAGCATGAAGCGCGATGCGCATCCTTCACGAAGCAAGCTAGCAATTCTAACCACTATGCAATGAGCAAGCGGCTCTGTTCAGTAGCAACGTAGTCGCCGTGTCACAAATCCGTTCCCTTGCATGTTTTGTCTAACTACTGCTGGTCCATTGCATGTCATTGTTCCGTGTGAGCGCGCACGTTCCACCAACCTTGAACAACCTGCCAACCGCTTCCCACGACAACTCCGGGCCTTGAACTGCGATTGGGAACTGACAGGAGGAGAGAGGCTACACCCCGCTGATTGCACTGAACGGCTGCGAGCATGACATGCCGGAAACACGCGATCCGGTGGGGCCTTTGGCACGACCTTTCTTGATGTTTCTCATTCCTGAAAGGTCTCCTGGCGCCACTGCACCTAACCTGCACCAAGCCTTATGACAAGGCACGGGCCGAATAACCCATGGTTGGCAGGCCCACTGTTCATAATTCTTCGGCCACGCGCGGCATCCTTCACACACCTTCTTTTGAGAAATCTTTTTCTGGGTGGCATCCCCCCGTCAAGCAGTTGCCGGGACTGGTTCTGGTTTGGCTGCAAGCTCCAGGAAACAGTCAAACTCATGCCCCCCCCTGTTGGAGTTGGACCCTCCATTATGGCGGGATCTCACTGAAAAGAGGCGGTTCCAAGCATCCCCGACTACGCATCTCTCCCTCACGGCACGGCACGTTGGTTGAACCAACTCTTGATTTGAGATAGGCACCTAGACTGGCACCTCGCAACGTTGATGTTTTTCCCCGTTCATGATTCTTCTTGCTGGTGCGGTAGGCAGGCAATGAGGGAATGCCCCTTTTCAACCATCCCTTGTGGTTTCCTTCAAGGGGACCCCTGGGTTCATTCCCGCATTCCCTACTGAGCACCAGCAAGTCTTTGAAGGAAAGTTTAGAAAGAAAAGTCTGTCCTTCTTATACACCTTATATCACCTTGTTTTTAGCCTGAATCCTCTTCAACTATAAATTTAGTATTTGATGCCACGTCAAAATGCAAAGGGGCAGGACTGCAGCCGCTCGAAAGTTTACCCCTTGTCTCAGGGTCTTGTCACCTTTCTGCGACAAGTTGGGTATACCTCCAAGAGAAATCCTGCACTTTTGGTTGCCGCTCTTTCGCTTTTTGTTTCAACACCCAGTGGATCCCAGTTGCCACTAGAGTGGGCCACCAGCCAGTTGCCTCTTGATAAAGGATTGGTTTCCTTGGTTCCCTCCCACACAATGAATCCACTGGGCCAGGGTGGTCTACCCTTCCATCCTCTTGGCAAAGGATGGTTTCCTTGGTTACCTCCCAAACCACTGGGCACCACTGGGCACCACTCGGGTCTCGGACCACCAACCCTTCCACCTCCCACGCCCTCCGCCCTACACGGCGCCTCGCCAGGCCCGGGAAGGGGGGCGGCAGCGTCACGGGGGTGGGGTTGGACTCGGAGGGCTGCAGGTACTTCTCCAGGTCCTTGGGGTACAAACCTCGGGCCAGCTCGCCGCTCCGAGCGGAGCGCTGAGCGCTGCCGTGCCGGATCTGGTGAGCCACGGAGGGTGACCCACAGGCAGGTTGCCAGGGTTCGACGTGTTTTTCTCCCCAAGCGCACGCGGCCGGTGTTCGACCTCCAGTTGAGAAACCTGTTGGCTGCTGGGTCCCCCAAAAAAAATTGAGGTTTTGGAAAAACGGGGCCGTGATTGCGTGGGATTGCCGGCGGTTGCGAGCTGGCTTGATTGGCTTGGGCCTTCAGAAGTGGAGGAGCTGGCCAGTCTTGCCGCGCCATGCAAGAAAAAAAGAAAGGATAAAGGAGACCAACCTTATGTTTTGAAGATACGTTGCCTTTTGCCCCTTGAAAAAAAGAAGGGATCTTCAAACCTTGATCTTTCATTTTCTGAAAGGAGCTCCCAGGGTCCCAGGTTTTATGGGCACCCCGGCGCTCGATTGTTGAATCCTGGCCGGGCTGCGGGTGTCGCACTGCCCAGTCTTCGAGTCGCATTTCGTGGGCTCCGCGACCAGCAGCGCGCCCGTCGCGAGCCCGGCGGCACCTGCGCAGCGACCCGACCGAAGGGAACAGAGCGACAGCGTCCTTTCACAAAAACGTCTCTGGTAGTGGATGGGTGGATGGGTGAATGGGTGGATGGGTGGATGGGTGGATGGGTGGATGGGTGGATGGGTGGATGGGTGGATGGGTGGATGGGTGGATGGGTGTTTTGTTGTCTCAAGTGCATTTCGGCAGATGCACATCACTGGAAGCATCTTCTCGACTAGGTCCTCCAGTATAGAGGTGAGAACCCTGCCAACCAAAAAAGTTCGTGAAAAGGCACTAGCTGGGGGACCTAGTCGAGTCTCTCGCTTCTCGCTGCCCCAGCGACTCGCAACTCGCCACTCGTCACTCGCCTAGCGCCGCAGACCGGCGGCCACGGCTGGCACAGGGCAGCACCCGCCTGGACAGGGGAGGAGGGGTGAGGGTGAGGGGGAGGGGGAGGGGGAGGGGGGTGGGGGGATTTCGGATTGAGCAAGCCCTGGTCCCCTTGTCAGATTTCATTGGGAAGGCTGATTGATCCGCTGTCAACATGATGGTGGATGCAGTTCCCCTATCGGCAAAAGAAGCCGTCTATCGCCAGGTCTGGCTGAAGCGGCCACCTCGACTTGCAGTTGAGGTTCTTATTGTTTGGGGGTGGGGGGGGCCGGGTTGGGGGGAGCTATCAGGCCAGGGTGAGTGTTTGAATTGGTCTGACTTTGACAAACAAAAGCTCTCCTTTTATCAAAATGGGCTGGCTGGATAGCTGGGTGTCATTTCTATTAGGTAAGGAGGTTATCACGCATCCTGCATCAGTCTCCTTTCAGGGGAAATAAGCAAAGCTCATATGGGCGACTGAGAACCCAGTAGCCATATGGGTGTCTCTTTTTGGGGAGAAGCTTCTTTTGTTTTGGCTAACCAGACTCGACAATCTTGAGGCTTTCCTTTTTCTGGGCTAACAAGTGGGTTATGGGATGCTGCGCGCATCCTTGCAAGCTGGAACCCGTCCATTAGAACCTGAAAATGCTTCCAGCAGTGATAGATTCCCTCTAAAACCAACAGGGGAACAAAAATTAAAGGGCCGGATAACCCCACAAGTCTATGCTTATTGAAGTATGCGACACTTGCATCTGCCGAGCAGCGAATAATCCCAAATCCGAGACATGCAAAGACCCTCACATGCAAAACCTTCACGCAGTCAGCTATGTCGAAAACTCTCAGCACTTTGTTTTTCGCTCTGGCAGATCGAGGGGTCGCATTGGCATCGCCAATGGCATATGTCAGCGGCATATGTTTAACATATGGCTTGAAGCGCCAACGCGTCAGGCGCAGCATGTATCTGGCAGCCTGGCCCCATGCATCCTGCGCTGTAAGGCGCTAAGTACTTCAAGACGAAAGCCTTCCAAGAGCGGAACCCCATTTCTGCGGGCTTCTTTGCATTGCAGCTGGCTCTACAAGCGTATATAGGTCGCTCCCGCGACCGCAGATGCAAGCAACTTCCAAATCATCCACGCGTCCGAATCTTTCGATTGGGGTGTCCTGAAGTGCGGCTCGATGATGTGTTCTGGCACGGCTGCAAATGCTGCCATTTAGACAGCTGCCAAACGCTGCCCCTGCCAAGCAAACACACGCTCAGATGCACAGAATGCTGCGCCTGCCACGACTTCGGCAATGGCATCTCCAAAGTGCTGCGCCTGCCACGATTTCGCGAGCCCCGAGCCGCGCACGCGACAACATCCCAGCCCTTTAGACAGCTGCCAAGCTGCTCACGCTCAGATGCACAGAATGCTGCGCCTGCCACGACTTCGGCAATGGCATCTCCAAAGTGCCACGATTTCGCGAGCCCCGAGCCGCGCGCGCGACAACATCCCAGCCCTTTAGACAGCTGCCAAATGCTGCCCCTGCCACAAACACACACTCAGATGCACAGAATGCTGCGCCTGCCACGACTTCGGCAATGGCATCTCCAAAGTGCTGCGCAAAGTGCTGCGCCTGCCATTTCGCTTTAGCACAACACCCTGCCCTTTGAGATGCCTGCCCCTGCAAACACACACTCAGATGCACAGAATGCTGCGCCTGCCACGACTTCGGCAATGGCATCTCCAAAGTGCTGCGCCTGCCACGATTTCGCGCGCCCCGAGCCGCGCTCTCCAATGCCAAATGCTGCCCCTGCCACCAAACACACACTCAATGCACAGAATGCTGCGCCTGCCACGGGCAATGGCATCTCGAAAGTGCTGCGCCTGCCACGATTTCGCGAGCCCCGAGCCGCGCGCGCGACAACATCCCAGCCCTTTAGACAGCTGCCAAATGCTGCCCCTGCCACGCAAACACACACTCAGATGCACAGAATGCTGCATTTTGAAAATGTCACGAAAGCGCTTCTGAATCTGACCTGTTGGTAAAGGAAGCAAACACTGCTGCCTCTGCCACAAACTTCCGCAGCTGCTTCTCCAATTCGGGCTTATCAACCGAAACCTTCCACTTCCCTGCTGGATCTACCAGCTGCACTCTTCCTGAGCTCAACCGCGCCTGCAAATCCATCCAAAGTGCCAAATGCTGCCCCTGCCACGCAAACACACACTCAGATGCACAGAATGCTGCGCCTGCTGCGGCTGCCACGATTTCGCGAGCCCCGAGCCGCGCGCGCGACAACATCCCAGCCCTTTAGACAGCTGCCAAATGCTGCCCCTGCCACGCAAACACACACTCAGATGCACAGAATGCTGCGCCTGCCACGACTTCGGCAATGGCATCTCCAAAGTGCTGCGCCTGCCACGATTTCGCGAGCCCCGAGCCGCGCGCGCGACAACATCCCAGCCCTTTAGACAGCTGCCAAATGCTGCCCCTGCCACGCAAACACACGCTCAGATGCACAGAATGCTGCGCCTGCCACGACTTCGGCAACGGCATCTCCAAAGTGCTGCGCCTGCCACGATTTCGCGAGCCCCGAGCCGCGCGCGCGACAACACCCCAGCCCTCTAAACAGCTCCCATATGCTGCCCCTGTGAGTGAGTGAGTGAGTGAGTGTGCTGTGAGTGAGTGTGAGTGAGTGAGTGTGTGTGAGTGAGTGTGTGTGAGTGAGTGTGTGTGAGTGAGTGTGTGTGAGTGAGTGTGTGTGTGAGTGAGTGTGTGTGAGTGAGTGAGTGTGTGTGACTGAGTGTGTGTGAGTCAGTGAGTGTGAGTGAGTGTGTGTGAGTGAGTGAGTGAGTGAGTGAGTGAGTGAGTGAGTGTGAGTGAGTGTGAGTGAGTGAGTGTGTGTGAGTGAGTGAGTGTGTGTGAGTGAGTGTGTGAGTGTGAGACAGTGAGTGTGAGTGAGCGGGCGGCGGGGGCGGCGGGGCGGGCGGCGGACGGCGGGGCCGGACGGCGGACGGCGGGCGGCGGGCGCGGAGCGGTAAAAGTAAGAACCCCACACAAAGATGTGGGGAACAAACATTTTAGCACATGGAAGGTTCCCCTGACGGATTTTGAGACAAAATGAAACCCGGAGACGCCATCCGATTTGTTCGCCTGAGGCCGGACTGCCAGGAGGTGAGCCTCAGTCAGATCCACGAAGCTCGAGCTTCTCAAGGGCGGGCGAATAGCGGAGTCCAACCACCAGACGCGTCAATTTCCTTGAGGGTATCATGTTGTGTGGTTGTTTATGTCAAGGGAACCCACAAAAAGGAGGTCCTTATATTTGAAGATGCACCTACATCTCCTTCTGCCGAGTTTTAACAACAAACCAGGTCGGAAACTAGACTGCGGGTGCACTCGAGTGCTTCTATGAAGGCAGGGCAACTGCTCGCGAACATCACGTTCGCTCCACAACCCCACGGCGAACACACTTCCCTATTCTGGGCACATAGGTTTTGCCTTAAGTGCGACTCAGAGTCTTGGCATGGAGCCCCCCGAGGGTATCGCAGAAGATTGGATTCCCAAAAGCCAGCCCTCGGCAAATTTGGCAATCCTGAAAACCAGTGCCAGGCCATAGCAAACAGCGATGCGACTTTAAACCAGCCTCTAAAATGCTCCAAAAGACACCCTTTAAGTTCCCCATGTGGCCCTGGCCGAAACCCAAACCCTTTCCCTGGATTCGCGATTTACGCGCCGCCCGAGCAAAGCGCTACCCGGCCCAGTCACCTTCCCACCTTGCGGCCCACAGCTCCGAGCCCCCCCGCCGGGCCATTCGAGAAAAGCTCATGGGCATGGCGCGTTTCAAACTGGCAGCTTTCGGGCGGGCCAAAGCAAGCAACGTTGGATCTGCCTTCGACACCCAAACAAGAAATGCACGCGCACGCGCAAAAAACACGCGCACGACGGGAAGCGCTTAACTCGGGATCTCAACTGGGTAGCGTTGGGTATAGGCCACATGGAATTGTTGCAAGCGGGGAGGAGTTGAACAAGATGTCCGGGATGTGAGGCTAAGGCCCAAGAATGTCTGACTTCGAAGTGGCTGAGCTGCGGTTTGCATTTACTCTGGCATCCTTGGCCCAGATTGAGCCCAGATTGAGCCATCACGCATCGATCGCGACATGCCACCTAGCAGCAGTGCCATGCCAAAACCCTCGCTTTCCCCTTGAAAGGGGGAACAGCAGCTTTGTATACCAAATGGGTGGCCACACATGGGGCTGTAATTTTGGATGGTCAAAGAGCGAAACCGGGAGGAAAACCACCATTTTGTTGGGGGGGCCCTCAAGAAGACAGACCCACATGTTTGAACAGGAGATTGGCGCAACATGGCCTGTCACTTGTGGCACCCTCGTGCGATCGGCGGAAATTCTGTTTGGCTCACACCTCTTTGGGCGCGTCGAAGCGTCAGTCAGCCGCCGCGGAAACCAAACAGGGCGAGGACGTCTGCCCAGCGCGCCCCAATGCAGTGCAAACGCCAGGAACCCAGCAGCAACACCTCCATCGCGAGGTCGATGTTCCTCGGGGCGCGGCATGCAGAAATCATCCCTCGCGTGGTGCTAAATGAACAAGCAAAGCTTTGGGATGGCAAAGAGGTCTGGCAAAATGATTCGTCCAGTGTTTCCAGGGGAAATCAAACACTGGCAGACTTTTGGCACAGCATTGGGATGCATGGACTGATGGAGCACCCTTCGCTCGCCTGCCTCCCGCGGCCGCCATCCAGCTTCAGGCCTTTTTTGTTTGACCCTCACGACTCGTATCCGGGAGTTTGTGGTTGCGTTCCTCCAAGAGGGTGAAGGGTTCCCAAACCACTGCACAAGCAACCCCTCAGTTGCCCAAAGGACCTGGAACTAAAAGGTTAACCTTTTGGGGCCTTTACTAAACATAGACCAAAATTGGAAAACCAAAAGGTTGAAAGGTCGATTCGCTTTGGGCAACTGAGACCCCAAGAAGGGGTTGCAACAGCCCACGGAAAAAACACCACGTGCCGCTCCTCTTAGCTCCCTTGTGTCACTGGTTGCTTCAACATCAGGGATCCTTACATTAAACACCTGAACATTGCCTGGCAAATGGTGGTTTCTTCTTATTTTGGTGGAAAAAGCCAGGCAAAATGCATCTATTAAGGAGCCCTCAACATTTTTTACACATTTGCCCAAGCCCCCATTCCATTTCAGACTGGGCACACGTCCACCAGCTGCCGCTCCACCTGGGAACAGTCCAACCCGAACACGAGTGAGTGCGATCCCATTCCTCATTTGCCAATCCCAACTTGGAGAAATTATTGGCCAATCCCAAAGAGAGTGCAACTGCTAATGATAACACCTCCGTTTGAACTGACGTTTGAACATCAGCTTGGTTGAGTACAGTTGCATGTGAACAGCAATGGCTGTGAGATCGATGCAGGCTTTTGGAGTTCAAAATAATTCGCATGGTAGCGGAGCACCTGGCAACGTCCAGTGCTCAATAGTGCCTCGCCCGCGACTGTGGATGGTTTCTTGTATCCTGAGTATTGGCATTTGTATTTGATACTTATAGCTGGTATTGATGCAGGGATCACAGCCGGGCTCGCCACAGGCACAGGCAGCGTCTTCGACAGCGCCGCAGCAGACGGCAGGTGGAGCAGGATTAGATCTTGCAGCTTGGATCGCGAACGTCCAAGAAGTGACACAGAGGGCAGTTGAGATTGCACATGTGAATGCAACATCTGTCCAGCAGCTGATAGCAGCGCAGCAGTTGGAGCGGGATTCGGCTTTACAACCGGAACGGCATGACCAGGTTTTGCAAGGCAAAGATCTGGCTAGGCTTTTGAAGCAACCGGAGAAGTTCGAGGCACAGACTCGAGATCAGGAGATTGCAGGCTGGCGCACATGGCCATGGTCTTTGGAACAGTACCTAGGAGCGTTAGACTTTGAGTTTGTTGATGAGCTTGCAACTGTTAAGTCAACAGAGGGCCCAATGTCGGCAGATAGTTTTGCAGATGGAACATTGCGAAGAAGTAGGTTGCTGTATTCGATACTTGCTGGACTACTTCATGAGAGAGGATGTCAAATGTTGAAGAGTGTGACGGACAGGAATGGCTATGAAGCCTACAGACGCCTATCCCAGGATTTGGTCCCCAACAGCAGATCACGTGTTCTTTCACTTTTGCATATGTTGGGAGAGACCATTTCGGGAACTTCACTTAGCGAAAATCAGAAGTTAGCCACACTGTTTAGATGTCTTACAGGGCAACTGCGGTCACATTGCAATTTGGTTGTTACAGACGAAACTACGTACAATGAGCTGCGAGCAATGATTTTGAGGTACGACGCAGCTGTTACCCGTTGGGAACCTGCACTCATGCGAAGTTTTGAGATTGGGCGTGGTCAGACTCATGGATCAGCTTCAGACGGTCCTTCGCCCATGGATGTTGACCGAGTGCAGAAAGGCAAAGGCAAAGGGAAAGGTGGTTACAAAGGTGGAAAAGGAGACTACAAAGGTGACAAAGGAAAAGGCAAAGGAAAAGGAAAGTACGACAACAAAGGTGGCAAAGGTGGTGGTAAACACGGCAAAGGCGACAACTACGCCACAGGTAAGGGCAAAGGCGGGGACTCCTGCCTTTACTGCGGTAAACCTGGACATTGGAAAAGGGATTGTCGCAAGCTGAAATGGGACAAGGAACACAACAACGTGCGGATGACAAGCGGCACAGGAGGAGACATGCAGACAGGAGGAGACATGCAGACTCCATACAACCACCAGCAAGTGCCACCGCCACCTAACACAGGAGGAACCACGTCCGTGCCACAGAGCAGTGCAGCATCAAATGCGTCAACTGGCACAACATTTCGGACGGCTACAACTGTGAGACGTGTTTCAGGTACAACTGTTTATCGCATTGATGAAGATGAGAAACCATATGATTTGACAATTTTTGTGCTTGAGGAACAGGACAGTGAACCAGAGTGCAATGTGCAGTTTCTTCGGATGATTCAGCATGTGCGTGTGTCTCAGCCTTTGTTTGGTCATGGCAACAGTTTTCACGGCACAATCAAAGCGCATGATGAGCCAGAACGAGTAACAAGCCCAGCTGCAGTAGCAGACACGTCAGATAGATCCACATGTGAGTTTTTCGACATCGCAGCTACGGACACCGATGGAAAATGGGATTTCATTGGATTTGATGAGCAGATGACTGAGGTGCGAATGGTCACGCCGGATATGGGCAATGCCACAGGCAGTGTTGAGATTATTCTTGACAGTGGAGCAGATGTGTCATGTTTGCCCTATGAGTATTCAGCAGTTGGTGTGGAAACTCAAATGTCAGGATTTTACAGAGACGCAGCAGGAAACCCGCTGAACGTGACCGGAACCAGGAGAGCCATCGTGCCGAAACCTCCAAGCTCGGCACATCCTCAGGTCGAGGAACATCCCGTTGTGCTGCATCTACTGCAACTTCCAGCTCCTCCAAGGCTCTGGGATCTCTCTTCTCCTCTTCTGCATTTTCTGCTGGGTCTGTCTCAACAGGCATCTCTTGCATCTCTTCCACCTTTTTCTCATCTGCTCCATCTCCAGTGATGGGAAAGAAATCGTAAACGAATCCAAGCTGCTCAGGCCTATGAGGTCGCCTGTAGCCGAATGTGATGATTTGTCTCGGCTTCTCTGCTTCCAGAATATGTTTCGTGGGGTTTGCCAGCTCCTCCAACTTCTGCTCAAATTCAATCAATATCCAATTGCCATCATCTCCAAGAACCAGGGTTGTCCGAAACTCCAAACCCTTGTTCGGCAAAGTTTGAGTCACATCCATGAACTCCTGACCAATGTATTTGATACCATACACATGCGATGAGAGCTGGACCCAATAGCCATGCAGATTCGCAACTGCATCTGTCAGTGTCACCTTTCTCACACACGCATCTGCTTCTGCTCCATGCACATCCGCACGCAAATTGTCATCCGCAGGAAAATCAATGCCAGGCTCAAATTCGCTCGGAAAGTTCTCTTCTCCCCAAAACTGCTTTGAGACTGCGTCCTCATTATCCGAGGCCTGTGGCATATCCGTGTCCGGGTTCTCCACGTGGTCACCTGACAAGTCAAGTTGCAAGTCTGCACCAAACCCAAACTGCTCGTTGCTTTCAAGTCCTGGTGTTGCACCTGCCATAATTGCAAGAACATTTCCAGCCGCACACAAACTGTTGCGCTTGTAGTACACATCCACTGAGTGCACCCCATTTGTGAGCATTGTCTGGCCACTGTCATGATGCACCAAGCTCCAGCCTGACCGAAATAATTTGCCTACTGCAATCAACGGAGCAGTCACACCTCCGACGATGAAGTTTTCCACAAACTGAGCATCTCCGAGTCAAGGAACTCAGAGCAGCATGCAGAGCTTTGGGATTAGGACAATCAGGTGGGAAGAAGGTCATGTACAAGCGCCTTGTGACTCATCAGAATGCTTTGCGTTTGCGTGAACAGCACCAGCAGTCTCTCGCACTGGCACCGGAGGAGCGCGTGCCTAAGACTGTGAAGCCTGTTGAACAACCGACCGAACATGAGAGGTTGCAGCATGAGTACACTCACCTTCCGTATAAACCCTGGTGCAGTTTCTGTGTGAAGCACAAAGCAAGAGAGGATAAGCATATGCGGAATTCGGCATCTGACCGTGGAGATTCAGTGGTGTCATTTGATTTTTGCTTCACGGCCAGGTTTGCGGATGAAGCAAAACTTGCGGTCTTGGTGGTGCACGACAAGTTCACCAAAACAGTCGAGGCCTTACCAGTCGAGACCACAGGTGGAAAGGATTTGAGACATCTTGCCCATGAAGTTTGCAGATTCATTGCATATCTTGGGTATCAGAGTTGCACAATCAGATCGGACAGCGAGCCTCGGATGCACAAGTTGCATGAGCTGATCATTGCACAGCGCCTTCAGCAGGGACTGGCTACAAAATCGGAATTCAAGAAGCCCCATGATTCAAAGGGGAATGGAGTGATCGAGCAGACGGTCCAGCCGTTGCGGCAACAGTGCAATTTGCTTTTGGATCAGTTTGAGGAGGCAGCGAAGACAAAAGTTCCTTCTATGCACCAATGCACAGCTGGTGTTGGAAGCATTCGGCTTTTATTTTGAACCGGTTTGCGTGCAGTCATGGTCAGACAGCTTACGAGCGCACAACGAACAAGCCCTACGTTGGGACAAATTCGAAGTATGGCGAGCTCGTATATGCAAGGGTGAAGCAGCAAGTGAAGGGACAACCGCGCTACATCAGGGCGATGTGGTTGACCAAGGTTCCCACAACGGACAGCCACGTGGTAGTCACAGCTGGTGGACATTTGGTTGCTTGCAGATCAGTGAGGGCTAGCAGCCAAGTGTGGGATGGCAGCATGAAGGATGTGTTGCAGAAGCATGCCTGGGAATATCCTGGGCTCATGGCAGGAGCAATAGCAGTAGCGCAGGGAAAAGAACGTGAAGCTTTGCCTGTTGCAGATGTGTTTCCGTTGGTTGATGATGGAGCGCCTTTGGAATCATTGCTCAGTGTGGACACGGTGGAGGTTCCTGTGTTGGCAGATGAGGCTGGCATAGAGCCAACGAGCCCTGACTCCGAGGTGCGAAGTGAGACAAGCGGCAGTTCCGTGCAGCCAAACACGCAGGTAACCGCGGGAGCAGGAACCGCGGCAGCTGGAGATCAAGGAAGTCCCGAAAAGGCGGGGACAAAGAATGAGCGAGTTGGAGGTGAAGTTGAAGATGAGAGGCCGAGCAAGCAACTCCGAGGAGAGTCTCCGAAACGTGCAAGGCTAGCTCAGCCGCCACTGTTTGCAGGAAATGTGAGCTGTATTGTTGGTGGAGAAGAGCTTCATCATGGTGATGTGGACCAGCGAGTTGAGTTCACTTCGGATGAGCGCGAGGTCTTGTACGAGTACGACAACTCGGAAGCATTCGACACTGCAACAGAAGCAGAATTGGTGCTACCTTCGGAAGCGGAGGAGGAATTGCTTTGGCGCCCTGGTTCAGCAAAGGAACCGGAACTTAGCCAAGAGCTGCTTGATCAGATTGATGAAGTTGCAGTGCGCATGGAAATTACACGCCTTTTGAGGATGAGAGTTTTGCATGGACTGCCAGATGGACAAATCTATGAAGAAGGCTGCAGATTCCTCTCCACGAAGTTTGTTACGAGCTGGAGAGCAAAAGTCAGGACTGTCGATGGAGTAAAGCAGCATTGTTGGATGCGCAGAGCACGGTTGGTGGCTCGTGAATTTGCCTGGTTGGACGCTCAGCGAGACGCATTGTTCAGCTGGTTGGATACTTGCATCAGCAGACATTAAGGATGCATATTTGACTGTGAGGCAACGTATACCTACGACCATCAGCGTCGACATCGGAGGCGCTACGCGTGGATACAAACTCTTGATGTGTGTCCCAGGACAGCGAGATGGATTCGCCAATTGGTATGAGGACTTGAGTACATACGTGACTGAGAGACTGGAGACAAGCACAGTGGCAGAAGCTCCTACTTTCTTTCGGAGTCCGAGCGGCGATTTGATTTTCAATGTGCATGTCGATGACATATTGATGGCTGGATCACCTGAAGCAGTGGACAACATGCTTGCAGTACTGGGAAAGAAGTACGAATTGAATGTGGAATTTCTTAGACATGAGGGGGACGAGATTTCGTTTCTCAAGAGGAAGCATGTGCTACTTCCCGGGAATCGTTTGGGAATTGAGGCACGCCCGAAACATGTGCAGAAGATGCTCGACATGCTCAAGCTGCAGAATGTGAGACCTCGGAAGACGCCATTGCCCGTTGGGAATCTACCTTGTGACGAGGAGACCCCACCACTGCCGTGGGAGGAAGCTATGATTTTCAGGCAATGCGTTGGTATCCTTTTGTATCTGTCTGGGGATATCATTGAGGCGCAGTTTGGGATAAGGCTTTTATCGCAGAAGATGTCATCTCCGTGCATCGGAGATATGAAGACACTGAAGCACCTGGTGAGTTACTTGGGATCATCCCAGTATCGCATGTTGGTGTATGAGCGACCTCAGGTTGGCCGTGGATTTGCAGGATGTTCGCCGCAGGGTGAACTGTTGCTGGAGGCCTTCACTGACTCGGATTGGTCCTCGTGCAAAATGACACGGAGAAGTGTGTCAGCGGCAGCAATCATGCTGGACGGCTTGATGGTGTCAAGTTCTTCTCGGACACAACGTTCGATTTCGTTGTCGACTGCAGAAGCGGAGTTCAACGCAGCAACGTCTACCATGTGCGATGCTCTGTACATTCGTAACATCTTGGCAGGTTTGCTCCCGGATGAAAAGGTCTATTTGAGACTCTGTGTGATTCAGCAGCCGCCAGAGGTATTATTGCGAAGTCAGGTGTTGGGCGTATCAAGCACTTGGACGGTAAGATGTTGTGGTTGCAAAGCAAGTGCCGAGAACCGGGTATTGGATGCGCGGCCATTTCGACTGTGTATAACATAGCTGACATTGGAACTAAAGCACTCAGCCGGACGCGCATAAATTTTCTACTTTTCTGTGCCGGAATCTGTGACGAAGAAGGCAGCCCGATTGGAGCTGCAGAAGCTGCTGAGGAGGAAAGACGCCTGGAGGTGAAGAACGCCATCAGAAGGATTCAGGTTGAGGTGAAAGATGAATTTGGGATTCCAGGTTCTCGCGGCATGACATTGGCAAAGAAGGTGCTACGTATTGGAATCGTGCGGCTTGGTTCACGGAAATTTGGCATGGGAGAATGGTGATTCCATTGAAGCCTTGAGCCGGGCGACGGTATGGAGCCCAATCACGTTTGAATTTACGTTTGACGCAGTTCTTGCATTGATGATCAGTCTCATTCTGTTGTTTGCATGCATTGGATTCATTTGTACACTTCAGTTTGCATTTACAAAGCAGAAGCGGTATGTGGACGTTTCAGTGCAAGACCTGGAACTTCGAGGAACAAAGCCGAGATACTCTTGCTAACCTAACTCTGTCAGATGAGTTCGCTGAGCAGGATGTATATGTGACCTCGGGAGGTCGATGCTATCACAAACAGAGTTGCAAGTGGCTCAAGTATGGAGCTACACGCATGAGCCTATCGGAGGCCATCAGGGCCAACTACAAGATATGCCAAACTTGCCATGACTTCGGCAAGGGAGCTGGCAGGACCTCGCACCAAGCCACAACGGTGCGAAGGCGATGAGATGGTCCGTTTGCGCAGTGCAGAACCTTACGCACTGCAGGACCTATGGAGCCCATTTTGGGCGGTTTTCACCATGGAGCCCAGAACCTTACGGGCGATGTGTGTGCAGATGAAGTCTTGGTGAACAGACTCGTTTCGTTTTCAGCTTGCGGACAACAAACATGTGTTCGCATGCAACTCAGAGGCTTTGAATGAGCCCGTGGACTGTTTGGAGCAGGTTAAGCTTGCAGGAATTCAGCGAAACCTGAGGCGGGGTGCTAATGATAACACCTCCGTTTGAACTGACGTTTGAACATCAGCTTGGTTGAGTACAGTTGCATGTGAACAGCAATGACTGTGAGATCGATGCAGGCTTTTGGAGTTCAACATTTCTCGCAGCAACCCATCTTTAGACAGGCCCATGGGGGGATAGGGGGGGGGGGTCTTGAAATTGGAACAAAGCACGTGCCTCGAAACCCATCCCACTTTGAACTGTTTGCTTGACTTTGGCCGCCCTTCGAACAGCATCAAAAATGGTGCTTGCAAGGTAGGGAGACCCCAACAAGTGGCTTATTGGTTCTGGCACACTTGCCTTTGGTAATTACCCCATTTTGGTTCAACCCTACTTGGCTTTTTTCCGCACCATGTTGTCTTTGGCTCACCTATGTGTTTGTCTTTCCTTGTCTTGGATAAGTGACATAGGGATGTGTCTCTCAAAAGCGAGGGATCCCGCCAAAAATCGGACACCCGGGACCCGTTGATTGAGCAGGGCGCCCTTCTTGGGCAGTCGAAAGAAGCCAAGCCAAAAGAAAACCGACCCCCGAAGTCCCCTCATTTGGACAAAGCCAATTTGCGTTTGTCCCGAATCTTTGACCTTTGGGTTCAGCAAGACATGGTTCCCGAAAAAGAAGTGGACCGCCCCGCCCCCCACCAACAAGAAAGAGAGCTCTGAAACACCCACCACGTTCATTGCCGGAGTTCCTGTAAGGATACCTTCAAACCTGCTTCACAAGCTGGATCCTCTATATCAGCTTTTGGCCCGTCTCAAACTGACCCAACTACCCTGTCCCCTTCGAATGAATGGCTGATTGAGGGCACCTTTTCTTGGCTTTGAAGGGAAACCAGAGGACCGCCGAAACCACTGTGGCGGATCCCCGCCACAAAGAGACACACCATAGGAGGTTGCACGCCCCTTCTTGGGCCCGAAATGGCTTTCAAATGTTGAGCCCCTTTTGCTCACCATGCAATTGGTCCACCCCAAAAACCACACAAAGTTGTTTCACCTCACCTCGCCCACCCCCCCCCCCCCTCCACCCCCCTCCCCTCCCCACCCCCCGCCTTGGTGTCCACGTCGAAGCCGCCGGGCAACGCCTCCAGCGGCACGCCCAGCTGCAGCGCCTGGGTCTCGCTGAAGGGCTGCAGCAGCCCCACGAAGCTCGCGGCGAACCAGAGCAGCCAGGCCTCTCCCCGCTCGCCGCCCGAGAATCGGCACCCCGAGAACGGGGGAGCGGTTGCCAAGGTGACAGGGTTCTGTTGATACCTTCCACTTCCATTCTGAACCCAGGGATCCGAATCTTTCCAGAAAACCAAAAACCCTGGGGAAACAGCTTATCGAAAAGAATGGAAAAGGAATCAACCCCTAGACCTTTTGGTTTACATCACCCCAAAAGGGAAAACTCACGGTCCGGCCCAAACAGCGAGGTTCCCACCAAAAAGGCAAATATAGGGAACCCTGCAGCGCCGAAGCAAAAACCAAAAACCCTTCCGGACGCGGAGAAATCCGCTCCCCGAAGAGCTCGATCTATGCAAAAGCAACCCATCAGTTTCCCAACCTCCCTTTGGACTCTTCCAAAAGATGCCACAGGTGATGCTGAAAGCTAGCCTTGATGGGAAGCCCGAGGAAACTGCGAAAGAGCCGCCATTCAGGGCTCCAAAGAGCATTTCCCGCTTGACCCGTTCCAGCTCAGAAACCAAACCCGAACCCTAAACCGTCCTACACCAACCCGGAAAAAACCCAAGCCGGCCCTAAACGACCTTCGACCAGACTGGATCTCCCCAAACCCAAACCCCACCAGGCGCATTCACAAAGAAGGCCGCCGCCAGGCGCCACAGCGTAGCTTCCGCCGCCTTGGAGGATCCGCGTTCAAAGGCGTCGGGCTCCAGGGCGCCGACAAAGCCGGCGCTGACCAGCCAGCAGAGCCCAAGCAGAAGCCCGTGCTCCAGGAAGGCAAGGTCGCTCCTGAAGTCTCACTCGGCCCGTTTCTCGGAGAAAAAAAAGAAGAAGAACAAAACTACCCTTTGGAGCTCATCTAACCTTTATCTTGGATTGGTGGTGTGGTTTGGACCGCTTTCTGGGCGGTTCTCCAAGTCACTTTTGCTGGGAGGTCAAAACAAACTCTCCTGACAAGCGCACGCAGCTGCCAGCACGCGTTCAAGCCACCCCCACCCCTGAAAGCGCGCCCAACCCGAAAACCGCGAATCCGCGAATCCGCGACCGACCCGAAACTCCTGGCAAAGATGAGCCAGAGCGGCTGGTAGATCCCAGCCGCTTGCACCAGCGCAGGTGCCGCCAGCAGCAGCCCTATGTCTCCAGCGACGCCCAACCCCGCACGCCGACACCTCGCCCGCATGCGGCGCCGCGGCACGCGGCGCTCACGCGGACCGTAGGCCGCGAATGCCGCGGCGCAGGAAGACGCGGCGCAGAAAGACGCAGCACGAGCGGGCGAGTAGAAATGGGGCGAAGACCCCCGTGCCAGGGCAAGGCCCGCCTGGGCTCAAATGCATGGGTCAAATTAAACCACCAGGGAGCCGCATATTTTAGTCCTTCTTTCCGTTTACCAGGGTTCCATTTGCAGTACCTATTTTTGACCCACACCCAAATCAGGTGAACGTGGTCACAATTGGCTTCTTCAGGCCACATTCCCATAACCCCAGACTCCTCAAACCGCTCAGCTGTCACTTTCGACTGGATCCAAGCTGGGTGCGTCTCTGAGGGTCCTTTTGGAACTGACCGCCTCCCGTCGCAGCTCCCAACCGGGAGGGCCGGAGCCCACCGCGCGGAGAAGCATCGGCATCGGCGCGCGGAGAAGCATTCCGCCCACCTGATGCAGAGCTAGGCCCTAGGGTTCCTTGCTCCCATGAAACGAAGGGCAAGGACTCAATTTGGATGATGACACTCCTGAACGGTAAACAATGGCTATAAGAACCCCCCTTTTATGAAATGCTATCTAAACTCTCCAAGGTAGGCAAGAGGGGGGAGGCAAGAGGGAGCAGCTGAGCTAGCTTTACCATTTACAAGCCTGATGTAGGGGATCCCCAGTTTGTGTTTCAACCCGAAATAAGCAGCCGATACTTGTGCAAAAGCATGCACCCAGCATCCAAGCAGAAGCACCTGCGACTCACAGGTTCGCATTTCGATGCCTTGACTTTCCACCTCCTTTGGGTCCAAAGCGCAAAAGAAAGAAAGCGCATGCAACGCGGCACGCGTTGGCAAACTGATGCTGATCCAACTTGCAAATGACACATGACAAAGATTCCTACGTGCGTCTCTATGACGCGGCAAAAAGAAGTAGGGTCAATCGGCCATTACGTTGAGGCAAGACGTGGAACCCGAAAACTGGTTGGCTGCAACGAGCGAGACACAGGGCTATGGTGGCTTAACGCAAACGCCGAGCACATCGACGAATGCAAGAAGCTGAATCGGCCCGCACCCTGTAAGCGACCCTCAATCCTTCCAGTGTCTCCGCCTTTGCCCAGCTTGGGAGCAACACAAAGCAAGCTGCCAACATCCCATCCGAAAGGATTTTTGCTGCGCAGCTTCTTTCCCGAAGCCCCGGATCCATCGGCCGGTGCGACACTTTGGCACCGGCCCCCGGCCCGCGCGAACGGGTCGAGCGGCTCTGCCCGGCTGATTTTCAGGCGGCAGATCCGATCGCTAGCCGTTGATGTCCTCCAGCTCCCGGCCCTTGGTCTCCGGGAGGAAGCAGCCGATGATGGCCGCAACTCCCAGCTGACCCCAAGCCAGCAGCCTGGCTGGCATGGAACGCTCACAGGGTCGCCGCCAAATGGGGCGTCAAAATTAAACCACCAGGCGTGCCGCAGGTTTAGTCCTTGCTTCCATTTACCAGGGTTCCATTTTGGGTACCTATTTTTGATCCACAGCCGAATGGCTGTGGTGAGTAGAATTCAAAGGATTGGTGTACGTTAGTTTCAGTCTGGTTCCATTACTATTGGTTCCCCATTTTGGTGCATTTATGTGAGCCACAGCCAAATGAACAATTCTCCTTTGGGTTTCCCATGCGCATAATTGGGGAGACAAATCCGGAGGCTTCGCAATAGCTGATCGCCGCAAGTGTTTTTTTTGGCACGTGCTCGACTGGATTTCTCCAACGGATAAACCAACAGGGAAAATAAATAAATAAATATATATATATATATATTCCTAACCAAATGGAAGCTTAGGACCCGGTGGGCGTCGTGTCCCGTGGGCGCGCCTGGCCGCCGCCGGTCCCCCCATGGACTTCGCCCACTGCGTAGAGAGAAGCAGGCCCAGAGGGCCGCCCAGGCCCGCAGCCAGGACCAGCAGCCCCTGGCGCAAGGCGATTCGCATCCATTGCGAAAGAACCTTCGAGCTGCATGGGAAGAAACCACCGGTGCAGTCCCCAACAGCCAAATGACCCAGGACATATGAGTATATGTGAGTCACAATCAACTTGCTGGTGCTCAGCAGGGAATGAGAAATGGTTTTCTGACCCCAAGAAAAACAATCCATGGTGGCTTCCACTTCCCTCCGGATTCCCTAGGTTCATTCCCTCATTCACTACTGAGCACCAGCAAGAAAACAAAAGAGGTAAGTCCTTCCACCGAAAACAGTAAGTACCAAGTCGCCAGCCAACCATCTGTGAATCGGGACCGGTCCCGACATGCTTCACTTGCCGTCCGTGGCCCCCGCTAAAGCCACCATTTTGAAAGGGCCCCCTATTGCATCCGGGCAAACCACCACGCTCCTTCAGGTTATATACCAGACAACCCGTTGCGACATTGATGTGCAGCAGGGCACCCTCGTGCAAGGCCGAAGCGGTCAGCATCCAACATGCAAATGGCTTGCATGGCTTGCGATAAGAATTCCCTCTCTCTCTCTCTCTCTCTCGCTCTCGTTTGCGTGGCAACCCACGCGGGGAACCAACCGCGCGCCAACCCACGCGGCCAACGAGTGGCGAGCGCAATAAACCAAGCCATTGGGGGCCAAGCGCCCTGGGGCGCCCCTCAAACAGCTTTCTGGAGGCTCCGGCCACAGGCGACCGCAGTTTATGACGTAGGACTCATCAAACTGCCAGCGCTGAGCCAGCTCCACACGAGCAGTTGGTCGATGGAAAGGGGCACCACCGTAAGAGCCTTGTTTTTGTTTTCCTTTTTTCTTTTTCTTTTTTATGGGGCCCTTGGGAACTTTAAGACGTCATGCCACCGGTCGAAAAAGAACCAGGTGTGTACCCATGTTGCCCCATCTCGCACCTGAGCAGAGCTCCTGCTCGCAGTTGGGAAGACCTCTCCAGACAGCGCCTGGCTGGGGTGAGTAAAGGGGGGGTCCATCATCCAGCTTGGACCTTTGAATGGTATGAAGACTGCAAGTATCTTTCTGGGCGGTGGCTATGCCGAACTTACACGACATGGAACAGCCTTCATCCAAAATCAATACATGATCAATTAGCTCAAGCGGATGTGTGCAAACTCCGATGTTGAAGTATTGAAATACTTTGAAGTCTTTGCTTTGACCCCCTGCAAAGTCACTAACACCAAGAATCACTACCCTGGTAGAAGTGATCGAACGGAGACCCTGGGCACAGCCAAAAAAGCGTCCTCCGCAAGACCTGGAGGTTTTGATTGCCCACATTTCGCCAGCACACCACATGGGTAGTCGACTGCAGCCCAAAAAACTTGACAAGAGCTTTGTCGAGGACACCGCTGGAATTACTTCGGCACACCACCGGCCTGGCCTTTGCCCCACTTGTCAAAGGATCTGAAAGGCGCCAGGCCACCCCGAAGAGCTAAGCTTGCTTCAACCGATTCAACCTTCACATGGCTAGGTCCTCCAGATTTGAGAGGTTAAAACAAGGGTACCATTTTTTGGTCTGTAGTCTATTTTAGTAGGGGAACCCTCCCAACCAAAAAAGGGTAAAAGGGCACACTGGGGGCCTAGCATGAAAAACCTGGCATGGCCCGCCATAAAAGCGTGAACCTCTCCCCACACACCCGCCAACTTGAAAGCAACAAATGGAGAGTCCGGGCCCACCAGCGTAGCCAATCTTTCCCAAGAGCCAGCTCCCACGAACCCATTTGAGTCATAATCAAAACCCGGTACAGAAATTGCGAACCCAGAACCATGAAAAGGATTGCCCGAAGGCGGCCGCACCTACTTATGGCTGGGAATTCTCCCCTTACTAACCTTCATCTACCCGGGTTTTCATTGTGACTCGTATCCCATCACGCCACAAAATCCGGCGCGGCCCGACCTGGAAGGTGGTATCCAGAGCCATGCTCAGGGCGGTGCGCAGGCAAAAGAGAGCAACCACCCAGGCCACCTCGGCTCAAAGCACCGAACCGGACATTCACCTACTCAAAAACCAGCCACCTTTGAGGTGCCCCAAAATGATGGGAGGTGCCGCAAAAATTGGACCGCTTTTGGTGCTGAAAATTTGAGGTTGACCAAACCTTCAGAACCACCTCACCCATCCAAGCGGGAGGCTGGCTGCGCGGATCTTACGAGCGAGCAGCACCCTTTTTCCTTCGGCCGTCCCGTTCAAACCCAAGCAAGGGTGGCCTCAAACACAACACATCACTAAGATGGCCACAAAACCAAGCCACCAACCAACATGCCAACACATACAAACTAAACAGAATCAAACCAAGCCAACCAAAAAGAACATAAACCATGATCTTGAGACTGATAACTGGGGCCAGCGCGGAATCCCCGGCAGCAGTGCTGTAGAACGCCACATCCTGGGCCGTGTCAGAATAAACCCTGCCCCCCCTCCCTTCCCCTCTGCAAAGGAACCCTCCTGCCATAGGTGGGGAAATAGATGGCCCTGGTAGTTGATTATATAAACCACCAAGGAAACCAGGGCCATCTATTTTTCCACCAAACCAACCAAGAAGGACACCTATGCCTCCTGCCAAGCTGCCACCAGCGTCTTCAGCACGATGCCAAGCACCCCGAAGCGCTTGCGGCCGTATTTGTCCCCCACCACTCCCGCAATGGCAAAGGCCGACAGGCTCAGCATGCCACCCACCAGCGACAACTTGGCGAAGCCTGACCTCAGCCAGTCACGGACGCCGAAATGCAACCGATGGCAACCGAAATGGATGTGGCTGGCTGCCCCTTTAGAGCAAACCTTGATCTGAGACCTTAGAACATTGATCTGGGCCATGTTGAGCTGCCTTCTTTGTCCCTCACAACGCCGGGTCCCGGAGCAAGCCAGTCAAAGACGCAAAAAGGGGCATGGCTTTTCACAGCCTCCTCCAGTTTCTGGCTTGCGCATCTGTCAGCTCCATACGCTTCGGATCTTATGCCATCTTCCAAGCTGAACACAGATCATAGAGTACCCTCAGGTCCTCTCCTAGGTCCTAGGCCGACACCACCATACACCCCTGTCACTGGTAATGCCGGCGTACTTGGTGCCGCTTTCTTCCTCTCAGCCATGCATAGCATCCTTTTCACGTCGAGCCTTGTCCGTGCAACAACTGAGAAGAAGGCTTGCACGTCCTTGCCGCGCAACTGCCTACTTCGGCCGGCTAACCCTCCAGGCCGCTGCCAACAATTCTAGGTTAGCTGCATTTCCTCGCAGCTTGGGTGGTCGGCATCTGGCTCCCTTGCAGTCTTTCTCATAGGACCTAACATGGAAGTGCACAGACCCCTGTAGAAAGACGACTTTCCTCTTGGAAAGGGCCTTTTTGCACTTCCATGTTAGTTGGTGGGGAGATCATGAAGAGGTCTTGCCCCCTCCCTTTCTCACTGATACTGGCCTCCCCCCTTCCCCCCCCCCCCCCCCCCCCCTCCCCCCCGTTTTCTCCCTGTGGCCCCGGGACGCGCCGAAGCCGTGCACCGTCTGGATGTGCTTGGAGGTGTGGAAGTTGGCGGCGCTGGGGAAGAAGCCTCAGAGCCGTGGGATCCAAAAGGAAGCGAGCTGCAGTGGTTCTTTTCAAAAACCGGATCCGTTTTCCCTGGGTTTTTGGTGGGCTTTCTAGAAAGAAGGATCCCTGGAAAGAATGGGGAAGTTGCCCCTAGATTTGTTGCTGCAACGACCCTTCTGCAAACAGTTGGGGGGTTTAGTTCGGAAAACCCAACTTGATTTCAACCAAAAAGTTGAAGTCTAAAGATCCGTTACCCAATAGCAGTTAACAAGGAAGCGAGCTGCAGTGGTTTAGCGCGAGAACCTAGATGTAACTCAGATGCCGAGTAACCATGGGGGAAAAAAGAATCGGCATCCTTTTTGTTGGTGGACTTTCAAGGGGAACCCTTTCCAAGAAAAGGAGAAAAAAGGGCACCACTGGGCAACCGGGTATAAAAGGCCAACCTCCCACTACCAGAAAGCACCTGTGGGGGAGGCAGTTGGAAAATCTGCTTCCTCTTAGAGGGACCCCCCCTTGTTGGTGAGCGGGAGGGTAACCTTCTTTGGGGCCGTGACTAAAAGTGCGCCAAGATGAAACCCACTTTGGGCAAGCGCGTGCATCAGCCAGTTGGCTGAACCATCACCGCAAATTCATCCGAAACATGCAAAGATTATCCCTTGGTACACCTGTTCTGTCTGATAGAAATGCAAGCCCTGGTAACCATTTCCAGACCGCCTCGCCAGTTTCTGTTTTGCCTCAGGCAACTTCACTCGGCATCCGCTTCGAAGCGGAGTACCTGAGACCTGCTTCCGTGCTTCGAGCAAATCAAAAGGGGAGCGCACGGGCTGAAACAGGGGTGTCTTTTTGCCACCTATTGCCTTTGAACAAATTGGCGACCATTTCCCTCAAAAAGGAATCCTTCACTACGAGGGGGTCGATCATTGCTCCACAAAAGGCGGCAAAAAGACCCCCCTTACCTCAAAAGCACCCAACATGTTGTGACTTGAAACTGTCGGGTCATGCTGTGGGCCAGCTGACTTCAAGTCACAGACTCCGTTTCCGCCGCAAAGATAGGCGCCGGGAAAAAGGCAGAGCGCGAAGCCCAATGCCTCTAGGGCTACCTTCCCCATTCTTTCCAGGGATCCTTCTTTTCAGGAAACCATCAAAAAAAAAACCAGGGAAACAGCTTGTTGTTGTTTTTGGTGCTTTTTTTTTAACGATGGTTGAAAGGAATGGGGAATCAACCCCCTAGAATGCCCCTCGCACGCGCGCTGCAAGCGCACGCCTTTCTTTGCGCGCTGCATGCTTCTTGCGCCTTGCGCCTTGCGAAGCCGGGCGGCTGCCCAGAAAGGCCGCCACCACCATGGCCACGTGCTGTTGCTTCACCTGGCGCGCGGGGTGATTCTTTAACGAACGAATGAGATACCCCAAAAAGAACGGGGGGATCGTTTCCCCCCAAAGTAAACCCCCCAGAAAGGGCGCCCTCCAAAACAAGGAGCCACACTCAAATGGAGACTCTGGGGCTTCCGAAATGCATTGCCACTTGCCGCAAGCCTTGCATGCAGGCAACGGGGCAACTGGGCAGCTGGGCAGCCGGCGCCTGCCCCGGCCGGTGCTTGGAGGGCAAGATGCCCAAAGGAGTGTCCTGGACCCGCGCAAGAACGGGTTGCGGATGGCTTCGGCGGGCCGATCGGGGCCACAATACCCCCAAAATGGGTGGCTTTGATTGGTTTGGATTTGGAGTTGAACCCTGGTTCTTGTAAAGGGTTTATGGGGTTCATCCCTCCTTGACCACCAAACCACCCGTCCGAACTGCCAAGTAAGGGTTACCCCTGCTCCCACTAACATAGAATTTGTGGGAGGGTACCTGGAAGATCTATTTCCTCTTCAAGGGACCCTCTGGCAGGTGCCGCGTTAGTGGGAGGGAGGGTACCCGAGGCCCGTCGCCTCGTTCTCGGCCTCGCTCGCTGCCTCGTTCGCGGCGCTCACAGGAAGCTGCACGCCTGCACGGACGAAGCCAAGCCGCAGAAGTGCAGAAGATTTGCCTCTGGGGGAACTCAGGAGTTCGTCTGCCAGAAAATCGCTTTGTTTTAAAGGATCATGTGTTTGTCTCTCTGTTTTGAGTTTGCTTTTTGTGTTGTGTGTGTGTGTGTGGGTTGTTTGTTGCTTTTGTTCCTTGGTTTCCCTTTAAAACAACCCCAAAAAGTTGATACCAAACTGGGTATGGGTCAGAATGAAACCACCAGGATATGGACTGCAGATTTTAGTCCTTGGCTCCATTTACCAGGGCAACCAACCCATTTTGGGGTTGCCCATTTTTGACCCACAGCCGTAAGAAACCAAAAAAAAAAGCCAACGCTGTCAAGTTCCCGCAATCCCCCTCTCACCGAACAATGAGACCCCAGCTCGTCACCTCAGCCGGCCTTTTCAAGAAACAAGCATGAAGGTCTCACACACACATGCCGAAATGGTAACTACAGCAAACAACTTGCCTTTTTGCAGATTGATGATCGATGGTGCCGAGATTTGCCATGAAAAACGGGCGAACAAGTTAAATGAAGTAAAAATCAGCTTGCTACCATAACCTCCCCCCCATATGTATATATATATATATAATGCGTGTGTTTTCGTGGGGGTACCCAAGATGAGTCGTATTACTGTTGATTCCCTTTTAAAACTACCAAAAAGGGGAGCCCTCAAAAAAAATGACACCAGCATATCATATTTGTCACCCACATCATTTCGAAATATTCGAGTGCTCTCTGGGTGGTCCCCCCCAGAGAATCCTCCCTTCAGGCCCCAAGCTACTCGCATGAAAAAAAACTTGTGCCAAAATATGTCAGAATAGGGAAATGTGGACCCCCGAAATGGTGTCGTGGTCCTTTTCCTTGGCTTCCCTGGCCAACCTGAAAAGGGCACCCTCAAAAAAGCAGCACATACCCACCTACCTTCAGGTGGCTGCGAGGGACCAAGTAGCTACTCAGCCAAGACAGTCCATAGCTGAGAATTGCAGCTAGGTCCTCCAGTAGAGAGGTGCAATACTACGGGTACCGTCGTTTTTCTGTGATCTATTTCAGTAGGGGAACCGAATCTCCCAACCAAAAAAGGGGTGAGAAGTCGGGCACCAATAGCTGGGGGACCTAGGCCGGCAGAACCTGCCCAGACCACAATCCTTCACCCTTTTCCCACCAGCGCCTCGGCAAGGTTTGAAAAAAAAAACTGCAAGGGATCATGATGTTGACCCAGGATTAATCATGAGAACCCGTCCCATTCGGGGGGTGTTTTCACCCCTCCAGTCTGAATCCAACCACTAAAAGGAAAATTGGACACCCGATCAAAATCAACCAGGTTGGTTGCTCTTCCCCAAAAGAAACCTCTCGGTCCCAAGCCTGAGAGAGGTCCCAAGCCTGAGAGACCCCTTTTTGCGGCCAAAACAAAGAAGAAAAAAGACAAGCGTTTTCTTTTTGGCTGCCATAAAACCATTCCAACCTCGTGCCCAGAGAAACCTCGGAGCCTCACTTCATTTTTTCCGCTTCAACCTGTTGCTGATTACTGGATGCCAACCCTTGGGGGCCACGTACGTTGTATTCTTCTTGCACCAACAAAATGCTCCAAACCAAGCCTGGGCTGTCCTCAGATCCCCTGCTAAAAGTTTAACTTCCAGTGGGCTAAATGGACGCCTCCAAATTTACCCACGAAAAGTCCGAAAAAGCCTAAGGAACCGCACGGTTCCTAAGGAACCGGCAAGAAAAACAAACCACAGTTTCCGAACGAAAAAAAAAAAAAACGACAACCCACAAACAAACCCGCTGGATGCCCCGGCAGAGCTTCCGCGCCTTTAGGCTCTTGCAGCGAGGCCCAGCGCCTGGTGGCTCCAAACGCCAAAATGAAAATGGGGAGTTGAGCCTTCGCCGATCGGTAGGGTGGGCCGCCCATTGGTTTAAACACCGTTTAAACCACTGGTTATGATGATTCCTCCCTTGTAAAGGTGGTGTTTAAACCATATTTTGCCCCACCCAGCCGCTAGGTCCTCCAGTAGTTTGAGGTTAGAATAAGTTGGTACCAACCTTTTCTGTGGTCTCTTTCAGTGGGGGAACTTTACCCCAAAAAAGTTGGTAAAGGTAAAGGGCACTACTGGGGGACCTAGGCTGTCCTTGTGGTGTTCGTCTCAAAACGCACACAGCCCCCCCCCAAAAGAAAGAAAGAAAGAAAGAAAGAAAGAAAGAAAGAAAGAAAGAAAGAAGGGAGAGGGACGCCCGAATCTAAGCTTTCCGTGGCCTTTTGGTGTTTCTTTCAAAACAACCCCCCCCCCCCCCGGCAAAAAAAAAAACGAACAAAGAGCGGAACACGCAAATCCGTAGCAAACCGAAGAACATGTCGCCATCCAAGGAACGAGCTGGTACTGAACCTCGAACACGTCTGTGAGATGCGGGCAGCTCGAACTACCACTCAGCCAGCAATGACACACTTGTCGGGGGACCCCTGTGTTGGGTGGTTCTCGAGGGAAGCCGAGAGGAAACCAGCGCATCGCTTTGGGCCCCCGAAGTTTGCTCCAAGCCCATGTCTCGCTCACGTTGCTCGCCTGGTTTCCTGCAGGTTCCTCCTCAAGATGCCGACCCCGCACAAGGGGAGAATGGACAGCGCATACCTCAGCTTCGGCCGATGGCACAAATTTCTTGGCCGACGGAAAGCAGTCCGCTCAAAGTCAAACACGTGCCCAAGACTCGGCCTGGTCAAACAAGGTCAAACGAGTTCAGACCCCGAACAAAAAAAGAAGAAAAAAAAACAAATATTTGAAAAAAAAATAGGCCCAGGTGGTATCCCCAGCCCCAACCGAAATCTCCGGAACCCTCACCGACAGCTGCCCCAAACCACTCCTTATCGCCTACTACAGGCCCATCGACCCCACAGCTTTCAGCGGTTGGGGGCACAAAATGTCACACCCTCGCCCCCCCCCAACAAAAAATAAGCTCAGGTGATATCCCCAACAGCATGCGGTGATCTGTTTAGTGCTCGCACCACCTCGCACCACCCCGCATCCCTCGCTGAACCTCGTGGAACCCTGGTGGAACCCTGGTGGAACCGTGGTGGAACCCTGATAAAACCTTACATCAGGGCCGCCCCGGACCACCCCGGAGCCTATCTGGGCTGAGACCCCAAAGCTTTCAGCTGTTGGGGAAAAAACAACAACACAAAAACGCTCCGTTCCCCCTCCAAAAAAGCAGTCTGAGCCCCCACGAATCCTTAAAAAAAATCCTCCACCCCCCCCCCCAACGGTCGCCAGGGCGACCCGTGCCATCCACCAGGATTCCAAGGCGCATGAGGCGCCAGGCGCCGCCCGAAAGGCCGAAGAGCAGCAACGCCAGGCCTGGCGACTCAACTCCACGACTTGGCGCGGGCGAACCGTCGGCGTTTGGTTCAAGGGGAACCCCCCGAAAAAACCTGCGTGGAGTCTTGGTGGCGGACTTTTTTCAAGGACACCCAAGCAAAGAACTGCACCATTGTTCTGTTCCTCTGGGGGGCCTAACATTTGCATCGTTTTTTTTATTTGGGGGGGGGGGCCGTAAAAAACAGTTTGAGAGATACTGTGGATTGTGGATGGTTGCGAAATTCAGTTCGCACAACATGAAACCATGCTTGAAAGCATAACGTTGGTTGGTATGTATAGGGGAATCGAATCATTCCCGGGCAGGTGGTGCAGGATTTCGTCCACCACAGTTGGTTTTCCTTCTGGTTTCCCTGCCTCAAAACTGGGATTTGGAACCAGAAGTAAAGCTCCATGGAAACAACACCCCAAAAATGGGGTATTCTCAACAAACACAACCCCAGTCGGTCTGCCGGGGTGATACGTCAGCTTGGATTGGTGGTTCGGCGGGACGAAGGGCTTCTTGCCATCCCTCTACAAAAGCCAGGCGTTCAAATCCCTAAACCAAGTACCCTCCCTCCCACAAACACGGCACCTGACAGGGGTCCCTTCAAGAGGAAATTGATCTTGCGGAGAGCAAGGGCAAGGGTTACCTTTGGCCAAATCCCTTAAGGCGAGCTGACTCGCAAAACTGTTTTTGTCGCTTCGCAACGGTCAAGCTCTACGGGAGCCAAATGACCATGCCATCATCTTCCAGTTGGGGCCTACGGCCGGTGTAACAAGTGACTCACCAGCAACATGTGAAGCATCTAGGGGCTGAAGGATCAAACGCATCACTTTAAACCAAAAACGAGAAAACTTGAGCTGCACTGTGCCACTACTTTTCCTGGCAAGCTGGGACCATCCCCTCCTTTTGTCAGAGCAAAGGGTGGGAATGCAAACAAGCAAGTAAGTGGCAAACTGTCTACTTTTGTGATCCGGTGAAGCTACTGCCTCATTTGCTAGGCAAGTGTGCATTGGTCATTGCTCCCAAGTTTGTCAAGAATCTACGCTAATCTTTGCGTCTCATCCCCACTAACGGTGACTGACCATCCCCAGTAACCAGAATCATTTTTTTTTAAGAAAAAAAGAAGAAAACAAAAAGGAAAAGAAGTCCCAAGCCAATCCCAAGCCAGGCGATCCTCGGCCCTCGGCCCTTGTTGCCCTCGGCCCTCGGCCCTCGGTTTTCGCATCGCCTGCCCCGCAGGCGGAGCCGATGTTCAAGACCCCCACCGCCCAGCCCCGGCAATCCGCGGGCATCTCCTGGCCGGCTGGGAGGAACTGGACCTTCGACGTCCAGACCCAAATGGCACCTTGGCAAATGGGACCAAAGACTGAATCTGGCGTAACCCTTAAAAAAAAACACAGCCCAAGATGTTTCCACCCCAAACCGGGACCCGATCCGGACATCGGTGGGCTTATGCCCTCACAGGAAGCTTAGAAGCAAGGCATGCGTCGGGCAGATTTGGACAGGTGAGGAAGGCTGCAACCAAGTCCCGTGCAGGGGCTCAACGCGCTCAACGGGATTGCCGTCACAAGCCAATGAAATCGCCAACCAAAACTTGTTCGTCGCGGTTGGTTGCCAGAGGCTCAGATAGGCGCTTTGGTCTTTGGGAACCAGGGCTCCCTATACATCACCCCCACAAAAGGGCATGCACCTTTCATGGGCCAAAAATAGTGAGGTTTGAACCCCCAAACAAGGAAATATAGGGACCCCTGGTAACCCTAGACAAAGTGCAGAAGGACTAGGGGCGGGGGTCCCTCACCCCCCACGCAGCGCAGATCGAATGAGCGAGTCCTCGAGCACCATGACATGCGAGATGATGCCTTCCTAAAAGTGGGCCGGCAAAGGCACACGCTCAAGTCAAGCTTCAATCCAGACTCAGTGACAACTTCCCCATATATCAAGGGCGGTGCCCTGGCCCTGCAGCAGAACAGGCCCAGCGATTCTGGTGGGTGAAGCGTCCACACTTGTCACTTTCTTTCCGTCGCGAAAGCGAAAAGCCAACTAGCGCAGCTATATCTTCATTCATCGACAACCCCCCTCTCCTCAAAAAAAGAACAGAAAACAATAAAGTGAAAAACAACACAAACGCTTCCAGGAAGAACAATCCATCCCCACCAAGGTCGGGTTCTGTTGAGTATGTTGCTTCAAAGTGTTTTGATCAGTCAGAGCGTTGGAAAAAGTTCTACATCGAACCAGTTTCCCGGCCCATCTTTCGTCAAAAAAACGTCAGTATGCTAGGAACACGTGACACTCTGGGGCACAAAGTTTGGGCAAAGGTCAGCCCATTGATGAAAGGAGGAAACTAACCGACTTCCAAACCCCCGGCGACAAGGTAGCAAATGATTTTTAGCAAAAAGGGTTTCTAATTGCGTGATACTGCTCACGTGAGGTTGCAAAACCAGAGGTTCAAAACCCGAGTGAGAATCTGAATTGCCCATTTGTGGGCTCATTCCAGGAGTGTGTCCACTGATTTTTGAGGATTTCCCGAGGTCCCCGTCAAAATTCCGATGCGGCAAACTAGGTGTGTTGAAAGCGGGCCTTCTTGCTCGATCCAAGAAGACTATGTGCATACCCATGTCAACTCTTTGCTTTGCACACAGTCTGTGGATAAATCACTGCACTCGCCGAGGGGGGTCCTCTGACGTACCGGCTGTAATGATCATCTTTGTGTTTTTCTTGATGCTGTCTTTGCATTCTCGGATGATGTTCGATTCTTTCATGTAGCCAACGCGCCTGCGGGCCTTGTTAGTCTGGTAGACCGCCCCGCTGGACGCCGCATGGATGACACCTTCAGCCCCACTCGCCTGCATCGTTGCGCTTGGCAGTCGTCTTGAACTCAGCTGTGATCTCACTCGTGATGGGTCTGATCGATGACCCATAATTCACCATGTCTTTTGACATGGGCACACACTATGTAGCCTCCCTTGGTTAAAGCCATCACGCGCATGCGATGAGTCACTCAAGCTCGCGCCACTGGATGTGTCACCCTCCTCCTGCTTGATGACGTGCTCAGCTCAGCAGGTTGGCATATAAACAGCACGTAAGCTGTCAGCCACAGACTGAAACGGTCCCACCGCGCCACCTGATGTAGCAGCAGCGTCCTTGGCCTTGCCCGTGCCTATTAAGGCCTGACAGTCCACGGTGGCTGGTCGCCTTGGAATTTCGTGCTGATTGATGTGTCCATGATTTGGCCCGTGCCATCACTGTCGAACTTGCTCTTGCCCTTGCCTTTCCCAATGGCTCCAACGTCCATGGGTGCAGGACCCCGTCTACTCCTCTCCTGCACTTAGCTCCTTGACGCTTTCCCAGGATGCGCCCAGGATGCCACAAGAATGGCGGTGAATCGCTATTGCCGCGCCACTTCTTGGGGCCTACTGGCGTCATGCCTGCACCACCCTGTCAGGTCTTACTCTTACAGCGGCCTCCTTCGACCCCCTGGATCTGGACCTTTCTGCTCCGCAACAAGGCAAAGCCGCGGGCCTTTTTGCTCGATCGATCCAAGAGGGCGATGTGCATGCCCAATGCTTTGCAGTGCATGTTCCCTGAACATGGTCGCTGCGCCTTGTGGTTTCCCATTAAACAAACCCTTCAAAAAAACTTCGCTGAACAAAAAAAGGAAGAAAAGGAACACACACACACACACAACCACACACACAACCACACAACCACACACACCCACCCACCCACCCACCCACCCACCCACCCACCCACCCACCCACCCACCCACCCACCCACGCACCCACGCACCAATGCACCCACGCACCCACGCACCCACGCACCCACGCACCCACGCACCCACGCACCCACGCACTCACGCACCCACGCACCCACGCACCCACGCACCCACGCACCCACGCACCCACGCACCCACGCACCCACGCACCCACGCACCCACGCACCCACGCACACCCACCCACCCACGCACGCACGCACGCACGCACGCACGCACGCACGCACGCACGCGCCCCAAATCAATAAAAACGCGCTCTATCCCAATCGCGTTCCCGAGCAAGGCGCCGCGGTGATAAAGGCCTGGGCCGCCAGCTGGCACAGGGCGAAGGACTGGACCCCCTCAGGAGGCTCACCCGCGGCTCTGGAAAAACCGGAAAAATCGGAAAAAAGAAAATTCGTAAAGAAAATTCGTCCCCTTTCGGTGTCCTGTTGGGAAGTTTAAGAACTGCCGGCTGTTTCTCGCACTCAGCACTTTTATGTGTTGCTGATTTTTTCGTAGAATGTGCGTGGCGCGGCGTTGCGTGGCGTTGCGCGCGCGTGCTTGCCTGCGTGTGGGCGTGCATGCCATGCGTGCGTGCGCATTCTCGCATTGGCTTACTCACACAACTTGCGCACGCCTATGCGCGCATATGTCATATCTGTTTCATCCATAATTATCTATGCAAAGGTTCGCTGCACAAGTCCCGGTGGGTGAGCGCTGTTCACCAAAAGGCTGCAACCTGTCATGGTCTTCCAGTACAGCGCTCGGGCACATGAAAAGGCCAGGTGAAAAGGCAAGGAGCTAAGTGTGCCAACAGTGCACCCCTGTGCGGGTGCCACACCTTGAGCAACTGGCGGCGGAAGCAAACTGCGGATGGATCCACAAGGAACCCATCCCCGCCATGCCAGGCTGAAGCCACCATTCCACGAAAGCTCTGTGCGCGCGTGTGTTCTCAAACACGTGTGTTTCTGAGGAGCCGTGTCCACAGAAAACAACCAAACCGTTACAATATCCCGACCGATCGATTTTCACGGCTTTGGCCTCTGAGTCTTTGCAGCAGCCGGGAACTCACCATTCAATCGCCCAACAAAAACGCCACACTGTGTAAAAGAAGATGCTTCAACCTGACAGAAACTCCCTGAGGTTCTCTGTGAGAGAACTGAAGCACGCTTGAGTCGGCGGTGAACGCACGAGATGAGAGGAAGCTACAACGTGGCAGCAGCGCCTTTGGTTTTTTGTTCTATGAATGTGCCAAACAAAAAAAAGCGCCTTGCACAAATTGGATGGCTAGATTGAAAAAATAAGAACGGATAAAACAAAAAAAAGAAGGGTATTGAAAGTGTTGTATAATGGGACTTTTAGATGTTCAAAAGAACGGTTTCGAGAAGCTCACACACGCACTCCCCCCCGACGAAGACGCAATCCGGCCTTGGACAGCGCGGTGAAGGCCGTGGCCAGCGTGTAGGGCACCAGCGTCCACATGAGCACCCGGGCACGGCCAAAGCGGTCCTGCCCACCCGCCCCCGTCCCGGGGGCCCCCCTCCAGCCCCGAGAATTCCCCCCCCCCAGAAGAAGGATGACTGCTGAACGGGACGCCCAAAAAAAAAGAAAAGAAAGAGGCGACCGGAAGCTCTGGAAGAAGCCGGCAGGGGAAAAACATGAGGTGGGAGGAAAAAAGAGGCATCCTCCCTGAGAGAAACACTGGCAGAGAAGCGGCGAAAGGCGGCGAGTTCCCTGTCTGGCGGCACTCTTCTGCACCTCTCTCTGGCGTTTTTGGACGCTAGTTCCAGCCCTCGGCTTCCTTATGGGAGCTCGTCTGCAAACCCCGGTCCGAGAGGCACGAAGTGGCGCAGGCCAGAATGGCGGACAGCCCCACAAAGGACGCGGCATAGCTCATCTCCGCGTCAGAGAGGCCAAAGTCGCCTGGCTGAAATCCGAGGCCTGACTCCACATAAGGCTTCAGCCCCTCCCTGCAAAGCTCTAAACTTGGAAGCGGAGTCCACTCAGTTCAGGGTTTCGGTGGCATCATTTTTCAAGCACTTGGTGCGGCTCGAGTGCACTTGCGCTCTGCGAGCAACATCATGCGAACATTTGGGGAGTGGTCTCTGCCATTTGGTGAATGGACTGGCGGCTCGATGGCTGCAATGAGAAACTGGGTTTCAATCAAGCGGCGCTGTATCTGCGGCACTGCCATGCCAAAGATGGTGCGGTCGAACTGGCCGAAGTAGCCTTCGCAGCTCTAGGCCGTTCTGGGCCTTTCTGGGCCTTTCTGGGACGTGAGAGCGCGGTGCTTGCAGTGGGAGAAGACGCAACATCCAGGGTGGTAAAGAGGGAAAGAGTCTGGAAAATACACCATGGACCTTGCCCGCCCTTTCCACCCTTCATCCAGCCATTCCTTTGGAGGATGCGACCGAATACTGTTCGCATATGCATCGAACAGCAGCATGAGCGTGTCTGCCGCGGAAGCTTCCGGCGGTTCGGTGGCTGCCTTTCCAGCATCCCAGCAACTTGTGCGAGAGCCATGGTCAATATCCCCCCCACAAATGACGGTGAATGTAGACGGTGTGAGATGTGATTGCCTAACTGTGGCTTGGAAACCTCCAATTTGCTCTCATTTGCTCATTGGTTTGTAGTGAAATGACCCCCATTGTCTGATATGTATTCATCCCTAAACGACAGCCAGCCGCCTATCCTCATGGTCATGTTTAGCGTGTGGACAGCTGTTTGCTCAACGTGCCGGCAAACATGATCATTACTCCGCAATGGGAACCTCGGATGAATGATCCCCCTAATCATTTACCGGGGGGTGTCGCTGGGTTTCCCGAGATTTGTCACTTCTATCAATAGGAGGGGTGCTGCTTAGATCTGGGGTCAAAGTTCATCTCATCCCAAGCCGTGGAACACCAACGCATCGAAGCCGGCGGCGGTGGCCGCTTCATTTGCCAAGGTGCCATTTTGGTACAGGTTTTGAGCCACAGCCATAGTCATGGGTCACAACTCCGTACCCCCTGCGAACATCCCAATCCCCACAAAAATCCACCAAAATGGGTGGTGCACCTCCCCCAAAATCGTACCATTGGTTTTTCAGCCACCCTTCCCCGCCTGCGGCTTGCAGCAGAAGCAGCAGTGCCCATTGCCGAGAGGAGAGCCGAGGCGGTGAAGAGCAGCTGAGGCTTTGGACCAGCCTCGAACCAAAAATGGCTGTTCAGGTTCCCTGTTTCTTCTTTTCCAAACAAACAAAATCCGGTTTGTTTGCGGCCCTTGAAGGGGCAATTCCGACATTCTATATTTAGAGCTTCCCGAAATGCACGGTTTTCTCACCAGATTGGGAATCTGATTCATCGGAAGGGCTGGGGAAAAGTCGTCCTTGTCAGTCAAAACATGGGGAACCCCGATGATAAAAGATGGGGCGCCGAGCTTTCGACCCCCAACTTGTCTTTTGGACCCAAGCAAAAACGAGTGAAATGCAGGTCAACGAACAGGTTTGGGGGTGGAAAGCATGGTCGGGGTTCTTCTGTTTAAGCCCGCTTTTTACGCGGGGATGTGTTGTAAGGAAGTAATGTTGACCCCGTATTAATCGACCCCATCTCATTAATAAGGGGGGTGTCCCTGGGTTTAGTGGGGAATTATCACTTTTGGAGGGTAACGCCCCCCTTTAGGCCAAAAGAAGGATTTTTCATGATAGAACTCGGGACATGTTCGACCCTTTCGGGGATCTTGCTTTAAGGTCACAAGCTTTCACAAACATAGTGCCCAGTAATTCCCGCTCGCCCTGCAAACCAGAAGCCTTAATTCAGAGCCATACAGCAGCAGGGCACTTATCGATTCTGGGTTTGGGTTGAACATCGACTTGTTGGCCATAAACTCCCACGAGGTAGACACTATTTTCGAACAAAGCGACACGTTGCAGATTGGTCCTCATGCATCTATATATTTTAATTTAAGGGGGGCGCCTCTCAGAGTCTCAGGCACTTCCCCTAAGAGCAGAAAAGCTTCGGATTTCTGGCGGTTTCCGGTCGGCCCGAAGCCGTGATTCATCGTTTGTCTGGGCCGTTCGAAATGGAGGCCAATCCTACTCCAAAAGGGACCGGTTCCTGGCGTAACCGAAGCTAAGGAGTAAGGATTGAGGATTACCTTTGAACAGCCCAGTGTTGAGGGCAAAAAAGTAAGATGTTACCCTCCCAGCTCACATGAACCAAAAGGAACTGGCCTTCCAGAACCCCCAACTAGCATTCAAAGTGGCTTGTCCCCCGGAATCGAACATGGGAAAAGGCAGAAACGGGCTCGTCCGGCGTCGTGGGATTTGGGTGAGAAATTACCCTTGCACCAAGATGGAAGTGCACCGACCCAAAAGCAAGTTGTGGGGTTTTAAAGAGAAGCCACAAGGAAGACCATCATCTTGGGGCTAACCTGAAACAAAACACACTTTCTTGGGATCACCATGGCCCCCAAGTGGCCCACGCACTGCCGGATCTTTGCCACGCTGCCGGGGTGTGAAGCGCGGTGAGTCCCCCATGCGCGCCGGGGTGGTTTGCCGGCCCGCTGGCTTTGCCCATCCGTGAGTCTCAAAGCAACCTGAAAGCTTGGTTGACCTTGGAAGGGGAGCAAAAGGTAATTGTTTAGCAGTTAAGTGGATTTGGATTTCAACCACTAAACCACGATGAGCAAAAATATGCAAAATGTTTCCCAACGACAACCATGAAAGTGGAGCTTTTGGCTTGGAAGTGGGGAAGTTCTTCTTGCTGTGGTGTGATTGAAGCTGGGCTCGCAACACTCGGCGCCAGGCGCCGAGTCAAAAGGAGCTCAGGCTGTGCGTTGGCAACGCGCCGCTTCGCTTGATCCAATTGGCAGGGCATTGACAAATGAAGCTGGAAGTAAGTCCGAGAGCCGACTGGACCTGATAACAATCCAACTGCTTCTAACGCGACCCCGTCGCAAGCCGCCGCGCAAAGGGTTCGGCTGCCGCGAAATCTGACATCATGTAAGTTGAAACCTGAGGTGTTGATTAGCACGGCGGTGCAGGCAGGTATTCAGATTGCTTGGGGTCCGCATGCGCTGGCAACTCAGGCGTGGGATGGTAGCGCGTGCTTCCGGCCCTCATTTGCGACCTCTAAGAACTACGGGAGATGCCCCCCCAAAAAAAGAAGAAGAAAAGAAAACACAAACAAAAGAACAGATTGCTGATTTCTGCCCATGAGGTCTGGCTTGGCTCCATCCCCAATACATCCGCAGGGATTCTACAAAACCTCGACATGACAAAACCCTTGGTCCAGGAGCCATGGACCCCAACCCATGGACCTCATTCTCCGGTTTGGGCGTCTCGGTTTCCGCGAAAAAGTGGCCTCAACTGCTCCCTCAACTTCCTCTTCCTTCCTTTTCCTGGGGTTCCTCTCTCAAATATCGAAGCCCAATCTCACATACGTCATTGCACCCCGCAAGGACGGGTACTTATAGGTTCCAAAAAGGGCACCTGGTGCAGTGAGGGACCTCTCGTCACTGTTTTTTTAGACTAGCCAATGAACTTGGCTGGAATTGACGCGTCTCTGTCCCCAATACTTTGATCTGGTTCCCAAACGAATTCCACAGGTGTCCCCCAAGCGCGGAAACAATGGAATGAGTCCACCCCCCGCCCCCCCCCCTTCCCATATTCCATTTTCGAGGGGGTAGGGAGCATTGGGCGCAGCGGTCATGAACATTGAATGTTTGACCCGCGATGGAAACGACAGGACACCAGTTGGACAGGCCTTTCATTGCTTGCCGCTCGGCTCACTTTTCCGGACACCTTCCGCACGGAAATGCACAGGCGTCCAACTGCCTGCAAGCAAGTCCTGGGAAAAACTTCTCGGGCAGCAGCTTCAGCTTTCACCGGCACTGGAGCAAACTAGATTCCGCGGAGGGCGTTTTCAGCCGATGGACAAATCTATCGCCTTCCGTGCGACGGGAAGCGAGAAAATGCGCACGCTTCATCCAATTCTGGAAGGCGAGCGCTGGAAGAATTCGTGTCTACAGCACAGCTCGCTGCGTTCTATGGGCCGCACGCCTCCACCGAAACCAACAATGCACACTGGGGGTGTGGGATCACCACATGGGGTGTCTCCAACCACTTCTGTGATACAAGTTGGAATCTGCCCCTTGGTTCTGTTGACCCCTCCGCCAAAAACGTTTTTTTTTTTTTTTTTTTTTAACTCTTGTGGCTTTAGTTCGGAAAACACAAAAACCCAACTTGATATCCAACCAAAAGTAAAAAAAAAAAAAAAAAAACTCAAGATCCAAGCGGATAGCCGTCAAGTCCTGGGGGGCTCCTCTTCGCACACGCCTTCAGGCCATGGGCCACCTGCGGATGCGGATCACCCGAAGGGCGCGGTCACTGGCCGCGAGGATCCGCGGGCCTGGCGCGAACAGCCGCCCTGCACACGTGGATTGCGGATACGTCACCGAGAAAAACATGGGCAGATATGCTCAGTGAAATACAGTCCCTTTCTAGGTCCTCCAGATTTGAGAGGTTAGAATAAGGGTACTCGATTGTTTTCTGTAGTCTATTTTAGTAGGGGAACCCTCCCCCAAAAAAGGGTAAAAGGGCACTACTGGGGCACCTAGCTTTAAGACCAAGCAAATGAAACATCTGCGGTTTCGGCAAACGGAAGTTGAGGCTCTTCTTGCCCCTTGGCGCTTCCAAACCCACGCGCTTCAGAAAAAGTTCACCAACCGGCCTGGAAGGGACCAGCCGCAAATGGATGGATGGATGGATGGATGGATGGATGGATGGATGGATGGATGGATGGATGGATGGATGGATGGATGGATGGATGGATGGATGGATGGATGGATGGATGGTGGATGGAAGGTCGCGGATAAATGAATGAACTCATGGACAAACTGGAGAAGGGAGGGAGCTAAATGCATTTGAGAGAGTAGACAGCATTACACATACAGCCCTTGTGTCGTATAGAAGTGCCATTCCAAGCTTCGAGTGATCTTGCAGCTCGTCAACGCCGAGCACGCAGCTGAAATTCAGACTCTGGGGGGGTGGCATAGTTGAGCGAAAAAGCAAGCGCTGCCTGGCGCGAAAAACCTCGTGACCCTTTCAGGGGCAAGCATCCGGCGGTAGGCTCCGAATCTGGAGACCATGGTCCATTTCCCAAGCTGAAGATTAAGTTCTGAAGAAGGCCTGAACCAAACAGCCGGTACTCTGCGTCATTTTTCCCCTACACAGAAGGGAAATCCCAAGAATCGCCCATGCGGATCGGAGCGCGCGTTCTTTTCCAACCGCTGATTCAGCGAGTTGTCCCTTTTTCCGCAGTGCGATCGATGTCCGCTTCCAGCCTGCTGGCAAGACAGGTGTTGAGGGCCACCCGGCCACCACTTTTTCGGGGATGTGCAACGGAATGTCGGCTTGGTCTCTTGACGCGAGTTGAAGAGACGGCCGCGCCCTGTGACTCCCACTTTACGTACCCCAAATAGAACCTTAGTACGTGGAACCGTGGACCAAAACCTGCGGTCCATATCCTGGTGGTTTAATTTGACCCATTCGAAGGAAGAGACGCGCCCTTCGACTCCCACTTTGGGCATAGAGTTCCCGGACCTTCTGCCCGCAGGATGGCTCACAGCTCATCTCATGCAAGACGGGCGGCTGTGAGAGCGGCCTCAAGGGATGGAGGCTCCTAGGGCTTAGACATCAGGGATCACAGGTGAGTATCTTGCATGCGCCTCAAATGCGGGTTGAAGCACCATCCAACTCTTTGTCCCTGTGGCTCAAAAGTCCGTGAAGCTTTCCACTTTTAGACAAACCAGATGGGGTTGGGGCAACAGTGTTGCCTGGGAAACCCCAGAGCCACAGCTTTACGCTTTCATCTGGCCCATCGCTCAGCCCTTGGAACCTGATGGGAGCTCTGAAGGGCTCGCTTGCTTGGCAAGCGGGCCGAGGCTATACACTGAAATTCGAACTCTTTTGATCTTTCAGCGACTTCTCCGCAAACTTCTCAAAGAGGCTGGGGGGCAAAGTACCTCCGAGCGACTACTCTTCCTCCTAACAGAAGCCATCTGCGGGGGGGTAGCTGGAAGATAAATGTTCTTTTCAATGGGACCTTTGTCAAATCCCATGGCAATGTGGGAGGAAGGGTAAAAAACATGTGGGCAAGACAGTTGTCTATTCCCGAAAAAAATGCGAAGGGCTCTTCAGGAAACCACAAGATAGCACCAGCAAGCTGCACTAGCAAGTAGCACTAAAGAGTTGGACCAGCAAGATAGCACTAGCAAGATGCACTAGCCAGCAGCACTCGCAAGATAGCACTAGCAATATGCACCGGCAAGATAGCACTAGCAAGCTGCACTAGCCAGTGGCGCTAGCAAGATGCACTTGCCAGTAGCACTGGTAAGTAGGACTACCAAGTGGCGCTAGCAAGTTGCAGCAGCGAGTTGCACTAGGAAGTTGCATTGGCATGTTACATAAGAGGATGCCTCAGCAAGCTACAACAGCAAGTTGCACAAGAGATTTGCACGAGAGAGGTTTTCAGCGTATTACGATAGATAACTATCTTTGCTAATATTCTGATGATTCGCGAGTGAAAGAAGGACGTGGAGCTCGACAAGTCTAAACTTCTCTTTGAAGGCGGCGGGCCTGCACCAACTTGACGATCGAAGAGCCGACCCTCTGCGGAGATCAGCGTGGCCGATGTAAAAAGCTGGGAACTTTCTCTACTTTTTGCGGTTTGCGCGCGACCCGCTGCGAAGATCGGCGATGGTCGATGCCCCAAATGCTTCTTGCCTCTGAAGCCTTACAAATAAGCCAAGCAAAGGGCGCGCAAAAAGTAGGGCAACCATGTCCAACGATTGCATCTGTTCTGAGGATCGTCTCTCCGAGATCTCTTGTTTACTTGCTTTAAAAGGGAGACCAAGAATAAACCGAAGCCGACCCGTTTAGAAACTTGAACCTTGGCCACCGACGAAAAAAAGCCGTGGCTTCATCTCAGCCCAAGCAAACCTTGAACATGGTTGAAGTTCGTAGGCTTTCACCTCAAATACGTCCTAGTGTTGACCCCTGTTTTCAGCAGCCCCAGTTCATTAATAGGGGGTGTCCCTGGTTGAGTGGGGAATCATCCCCCTATTAATAAGCTGGGGTTGATTCACATGGGGTCACAGCGTTTGCTACGCTACACATCGTCCACGACAAGCAAAACATCCTTCATGCCTTGGGCAGCAAAAATTCCCCTAACAGTTGTTGCAAAGCGGATTCTGTTCACCGGCTTCTAGAGTTTTGGGGAATTTTCACGGCAGGACATCCAGCCATCATAGCCCACGCTTTGTTGCTGTTAACCCCTCTGCAAAAGGTTTAACTTTCTGTGGGGTTATTTCGGAAAACCCAACTTGATGTCAACCAAAAACGTAAAGTCTAAAGATGTGTTGCCCCATAGCAGTCAAGCATGAAGCTGCCATGCTTGATACACAACGCCGCATGCACGGCGCTCGTTCGGGCCCAAGTTCCTCCAAGGCGCCTTGCTGGATCTCGGCGATTCGCTGCACCTGCTTCGCCAACTTGGCCTCAGTCAAGTCTCAAAGCGAGGAACCCATGCTTCCAGAATCATTTCGTTAAGACCCCTGGCAAAACAAAAACAAAAAAAACTTCAAAAAGCAATGGTCCAGTAGTGATAAATTCCGTTTAAAAAAATAAAAATGAAATAAACAAATATTAAGCAAATGGAAGCATGAGGGGCCAGCTTCCGCATTCAGCTTTTCCTTTGAATGGTGTGAGCGTTTTGGAAAAAATGGATTCAGGGAATGGATTGCCAAAGGAAAAACCAATGGAACCCATCCATTTTCCACCCCAACTCACCCAAAAACGACACCTATGACAGGGCTTGCCGAAGACTAACCCCCCATAAGGGCGGGATTCCAACTTGGACCACGGTACCACAGTGGTTGGATAAACCCCGAGCGACCCCACACCCGTGACACTCACCCCCAGTGCCAAGAAACCCTACAAAGGAGTCCCCTCTAAATACCAACAAGCAACGGCTGCAAAAAATGGGTCTCCCAGCGGCGCCGTTGCGGATTTCGCACACGACCTTCCAAGAAACTCTTGACGTTATTTTTGGGTTTTTTTCTTTCCAAGCAGGATGTCTGAAGAAGGCACATAGAACAACGGAACCATCAGTCGGTGCCGATGCATCGGCAGCTCCATAGGTGTCCTTTTTTTGGAAAATAGATGGGTTTCCCTGGTGGTTGATTGAACCACCAGGTAAACCAGGAATCGCCTTCTATTCTTAAACCAAATCAACCAAAAAGGGCACAGCTCAGCACCCCATCGGCCACCCCCACCCCCAACCCGCCGCTCTCAAGGGGCGCAGGACATGCGGAGCGCGTAGAGGTCCGCGGACCTGGCGGGGCCCTGGAGCCGGGTGCACTGCTCCAGGAACTCGTCCACGGTGATTGTAAAGTCCCCGTCCTTGTCCTGGGCACGACGGTGAATTCCCACGTACCGTTGAGGCGACTTCCGTTTTCTGTCTGTGTGTGTGTGTTTTGTTTTTGTTTTTCTCCGCCTTCCCACGCCCGTTGAGGTGCTTTCTCTTGCTTTCTTTTTGTTTTCGCCCGGAAGAGAAATGGGCGGACATCTGTCCAATGAAATCGATTCCCTTTGAAACCAACAAGGGATAAGGGAAAAAACACTCCCACAACATCAGCCACAATACTGCAGATACACCTTCACTTGCGCATAAGCCCCCCAGCAACAGTGAGCACATATGCCCAGTGGTGAAATCGAATTTCGTTCAAACCCAACTTCAGGGAGAAATTCAAAAAAGATCCTCCATCCATCAGCCACTGCAAGCGATCGTTTGGTTTTCTCCAGAAGCTCAGAACCATAAGTGGCCTTTGGGAAGAACAGATGGCCCTGGCAAATGGGATAAAACCCACCTAAACCAGTGGAACCCATCTATGTTTAGCCGAGCTAACCCCAAAAGGACACCTATGCTCAGAACACGAAGCCCACTCCGCGAGCCGCGCACTCGGCGCCGAGGCGCCAGGCTGGTGAAGAGCGTCCAGGCGTCCATAGCGCCCACCTGCAGATATTCGAAGAAGGAGCGTACCGCGTCGTCGTCCATATGCCGCCTGAGGCGCTGCGGCTTTGGTTTGGGTGGCTCGGTGGCTCGGTGGCTCGGTGGTTTGGTGGTTTGGTGGTTTGGTGGTTTGGTGGCTTTGGTGGCTTTGGTGGCTTTGGTGGCTTTGGTACACCCCCCACAATCATCTTCTCTCTGATTGGTTTGGTTAGGAGGGTTCGGTGGTTTGGTGCTTTGGACTTTGGATGGTTCGGGATTGCCTGACATCAAAGGGGCTGATCAAAAGGTGCCCCTTCTTTTTTTGCCGTTGGTGGGAAAAACACTAAAAATATTTGATATATTTCCATGGGACAGATGTATACATCATCATACGCAAATATATCTATATATATATGCCGATCGAGTTGAAGCCCTGCAACTGGTCGATTGAAGAAACCCGCCCCCTTTCAAATGCGCGATCGCCCCGGTGACTTTGAACAGCCTGGTTCACCTCGTGCCAAAATCCATGAAAGGAATCGGGGTTGAAAAAGGAAGCGCCCCTGCGATTGGGAATGACCTCCCATGGCTGACCCCAGCGAAACAACTGCGAACCGCTGGAACAACTGCGAAACAACTGCGAACCCTAAAGCCTTGCAAAGGGATTGCATCAATGCCATTGAACAACCGCAGCTGGCTGAGTCACGTTCCGCAGGATTGGATCCACAGCTCAAAGAGCCTCACCAATCTTTGTGAGCATGTTTCACTTCACTCCATCTAGCTTGAGAATCATGCGCGGCCATGCAGAGCCCCCGCTCGCCCACAACTCACTTGCCGAGTGGATGGCCCAAACAAAGTCCAAACTTTATATTTACCACTAAAATGGTCCAAACCCAAAAAGTTTAAAGTTTATGAACTCAGGAAGTGAGACACCGGACCATCGGACAATCCTTTTGACAAGCGTCTCGAACTCGTTGATGGTGATTTGCCCCAAGCCGCGATCGTCAATCCTCTTGAAAAGGCTCCTCAGCTCCCGGCTCCCAATGCAACATGTCACCTATCCCCGGCTCGCTGGCGAGCAAAATGACCGCGGATTAATAAACCCCTGTTTATTAATATGGGGGTGGGGGCCCCTGCAAAAGTGAGAAACATCCCCACTAAAACCAGAATCGGACACCCCCATATTAATAAACAATGGGGTTATCAATCCGGGGTCAACACAAAAAGGGGCCTCTGCAGATCTGACGCCTTTTCAACTTTCGCCCGCTTTCGACCTGTCCCCTTTGCAGGGATCGCCCCCCCCCCCCCCCCAGCTTTGAACCAACGCCAGATAGGAAACCAGCCCGGACCCCCTGCGAACATGCGGGTTCCCAGATTCACTGTCGCACCCACCTTTGTGCACCTCCGTAAACACCTCAAAGAAATATGTGGTCTATGGCCCCATGGTCCCCTCAGGCGAAACAGGCCAGAGGGCCAGCAGAGGGCTAGCAGGCCAAGATCAAAAAGGAACTTGGGCTGTGGAAAGCGGAGTCTCACAGAAGCCTAAGGAACAAATCCTTCGTGCCTTCCGAAGCTGGCATGCTGGCTGGTTTCTTTTGGCCAGCCTGGTACTCAGGCGAATTCCGACGGACCCGCGTGGCAGGTCACGTGCAATGTTGCTCACTTCGGCAAGCTGACTGACGCTGTACTATCCAGGCTGTCCTTTTTCTGATCCCCTGCTGAAAATTGGACGAGTGGGCTACATGCAAACCCAAATAAACCAACCAAAAGCCAAAAACCATCCCCTGCTGCTACCACTCAACCAACCAAAAGCCAAAAAGAACGAAGACGCCTGGACATTGCCAAGTCGTGCGTTCCTTCGGAACCTTCATCTGCCAAGTCTCAAAACTAACTCTTGGTACTCCCTTCGGCCTTGAACCATGGAATGTAGCATCGCGTCGTGGTCGCGCTCGGCGGCTTTTATGGCGGAGTTGCAGAAGACCCCCGTCCTCCGGCGCCAGGATTTTTGTTTGCAATGATCGCCGCTTTGCCAAGTTCCAGAAAGGAAAGGGGCTCGGAAACCCGCAGTGAAAGGACAAGACATCGCACTGTGCGCCTCGCGGAGGGGTTACTTCTGTCCCTGCTTTGGATCACATGGGTGCCCAAACCTGCGAGCAAAAAAAAACGGAGCCCTCGGCTCTCTTTTGCCGACCCAACGGGTGAATCGGTTTCATGAGATGAAAGCATGGACAACCTGGACATTCATCCCCCGGAAAGTCGATCACGTTATCTTCCTGTCGGGGTGAGGGGCGCCACAAAGTATGCGGGCCACTTGGCCGCAATGAGCAAACATGCCTACTATGCAAGCGATACTGATGGCCAATGGCTGAACCCTTGGGTGGGCAAAAAAAAGCACATCTCCCCGATTCCCAAAAACAGACAAGGAAAAGATCAGGAAAGTGAACTGTAAGAAGACATTTCACTTGTTCAACGAGCGGTCCCCGCAATGTCTCTCTGAACAAAAGCTCAGGATCGTTCTTTACCCTCGCTTAGCGCCTAGTGTAGCGGGCGGCTTGGCAAGCGTGATTCGCCTTGGAATGCCTGGGAGGGCCAAGGAAACTCAAGGAGCGAAAATAGACACTCACGCGGCACTTCCCTGACCCGAACAAGCTGACGCTCCCAGTTTCTTCCATTGTGCTGAAGCCATTCAAGCACTGTCCATTGAAGCCCCTGACCACCCCTGTTGCTTCCCACTTCGCGAAGCCCCGGGCCCACACCACCCCTTGCGCCCCTTGCGCCGGGCGGCATGACATTGAGAAGCGCAAAGCTGCAGAACGCCACATAGAAGTGGAACACCTGAACCCAGACCATGCCCATGGGCATGAGGGCGTCCGCGGCCTCATGCCTTGGTTGACGTTGGAAGGGGAGCACAAATATTTCTCAAAATTTTAGCAGTTAAGTGGATTTGGATTTCAACCACTAAACCACAATAAGCAAAAATGAGCAACATAAAATCCCAACATCAACCATGATTTCCTTCAATAAGCAAAAATAAGCGAACTGTTCCCAACAACAACCATGATGCCAGGTCAAGCCATTGGAGATGGACCGGAACAGGGTGATCATGGAGAGGTACAGGGTGCCAAAGTACTTCTCCAGCAGGGGATGCTGCGCAGCTCCCAGCTGCTCCTCCTCGAAGAGAAAGTCAATGACCAAGTCCGTGAAGAGGATGCCAAAAATGTACATGATCAGCGCCAGAAGCAGGAACGACCAGAAGAGTGACTTCCTCAGCGTCTTAAAGGGCTCAAAAAAGGTCTTCCTGTGTGTTGTAAGTCCTGACGTAGCACGTGGCGTCCGCATCGCGTTCTTCAGCCTTACTTGTGTTTGTGAAGGTTTGTGGCTAACACTGTAGGGTGACGCTGAGGTCCTCGCAAGGATTTATGGACGAGTTGGCTTGGAGAGGCTTCGCGAAGCCAACTAGTCGCCTCACGCAGCGGCTTTGTGGATGCTTTGTTAGCCAGAAACCTCAGAAGTTGAAACCGAACTTGAAGTTGACGAGTCGGAAGATCAGAGTTTTGGCCACATGTCTTTTCTTAATGGCTGGAGAAGACGCAACGGGCGTCATTGGCAAGCTCGAAACCTAAACAGCTGTACTAGCGTGGGCCCCACGAATGCTATACCTTAGCGGAGCTCCAGCCTTATTTCAGTCCAAAGCATCGCTCTGCCAGACTTCGCGCTGAGCCGTTGCACATGTTAGCTCAGTTCAGTTCAAGCCGATGTGGCGGGCCATTCAACGTGAGCTCAGTTGCAATTGAGCCGAGCCTGCAAAGCGCGGCACATACGGCGTCGCCACTTAAATGCCTGGACACTTACATAGGCCAACAGGCATTTTATAGCACCTCCGCAAGGGTTATCGCCGGACCGGACAACCAATTTAAACATCCAAATTAAATAGGTGCTATGCGCTACTTCTTCCGGGTTCGCATACTTAAACGTCCAAGCGTCCGAGCGTCAGCAAATCGTAGTGTCTGCCATGTACCAAACAACGGCTCGCGCAAGTAAACAAAAGACTAACCAAGTCGCCAAGCACAGGCAGGGGAACAAGCAGGGAGACAAGTGTCCACACTTAGCGGTGAGACCGAGAAGGGGGACAAGCAAAGATCCGCGACCAAGATCCCTGTCAACATCTTAGATTCCATGAATTTCTTTAGCATTGGCAATATGAAATATTTGTTGCCGTTGACCCCTCTGCAAAAAGTGTAACTGTTGGTGGGTTTAGTTCGGAAAGCCGCTTGATTTCAACCAGAAAGTTAAAGTCAAAAGATCCGTTGCCCAATAGCAGAAAGGCCTTCGGCCTGCAAGATGTGCTCCCTGAAGTGCCAGTGACGTCTCCGCGTCAAGTCCAACTGGGAACTGAAGTTCTAACGTTTTGGAGCCCCTGCATTCAAGTAGAGAGTCATTCAACCAGGCTGTTACGCGTTTTTAGTCTTTGGTTCCATTTAGCAAGGTGCCATTTTGGTACCACTTTTTTGAGCCACAGCCACCAGAGACTTCCAAAAAGCGACTTGAAGTGGGGCACCCCCTCCCCTTGCCTTGCAAGAAGGACTGTTTTGCAAAGGAGGCTGTAAATCGGTTGATTGGCAACTTTCAGATCTCGGAGTCAGATTTCGCATTGACCTTTCTGGCTGACATGCAAAAGAGGTCGGAACGTCGTATCCCCATCCGTAGCCTCAAATGGCCAGACATAACTCCATGGCTCGCGCCCGCAAGAGGCCCGAATTGAAATTCACACCAACCTTTTGCGTGTCTCCAAATTGATTTCCTTCCGGGAACGTTACAACCAACAAGATTCACCCTGGCCCACGCCTTGCGTCTCCCCCCTAGCCCCTAAGCCGCTTAGCCTACCCTACAAGATATTCTCGGAGGAGATCCCCAACCCCCCCAAAACACACACACACACACACCTCAACACAGCCCTCAGACCCTCAGACCCTCAGACCCTCAGACCCTCAGACCCTCAGACCCCGCCCTTCCTTTCCCCCCCAGACATGAGCCCCGCCGCAAGGTGCCCAGCAGGGAGTAGACCAACGTCCGCAGGGCCCGGAACAGCCGCACCACCCGCACGATGCGCACCACGCGCACCAGGCGCCCCAGACGCAAGAGCCGCATCAAGCGGAAGTTGCCTCGGGGTCACCAAAAAAACGGGGCTTTGGGGGAGGCGTGCGCCGGGCAACCAGGGGAAACCCACTGGAAACACACTGGAAGCCCAAGGCGAAACCCATTTGACGCACACCATTGGCCCCAAGGCGGATGTCATTGAAATGGCCCTTGGCTAAAATGATGAACACCGAACATGACATGAAATTCTAGGTTTAGGGTTGACCAAGTTTTCCTTTGAAACTCCCGTGAGCCATCACCCGGGATGAGGTTGGCCAGTCTCGGCCGGAAACGGGATTGAACATCCGCCTGGCACAGATGCCAGATGTTACCAAACGTTGACCCAGACAACCAGGACGTTCTTCCCGGCCCCTTGAGTGGACATCATCAACGTGAAAACTCATGCCCACCAGTTCTTCATTTGAACCCCTTGATACCCTTGCCTGTGAAATGACGCATGGACAAATCAAATCTAAACTCCCTCGTTCGCAGGGCAAACGACAGAACCACAGGTGTTCGTCGATTCATTCAAAGCCATAGCAGTTTGACCTCTGGGGAAGAAAGGACCAACCTACATATAGGCAAGCAAAACAGCCTGGAAATTAATGGCAGTTGTGATTGTCAGGAATTTCTACTGAGTTGAATAAGACTCCTGAACCAGTCCCGGCACATGCTCCCATTCAACATCATCCAAAGGAAAATAAGGTCTGATTTGGCAGACAAGACGCGAAGATAGCACATCTTGACACGTTCCATGTCTACACGCCTTCAGTTTATATATGTATATATGTATGTATATGTAAATATATATATATATATATATGTGTGTATGTGTAATATGTATCTATATATATGTGTGTGTGTAATATGTATATATATAGATATATATGTTTATACACATGCCACACACACACACACGCGCACACACACACACACACAGTTGCATGAAATGGACGGCGTGCAAGTATGCCAGGTTCGCAAAAGTGACGCCTGGGCATGTGGACATGTGCCAAAACAGGGCCACTAGTCTTGTTCCTTGCAACCAACCCAAACATTGCTAACAAAACGCCAACCCAACCAGTGCGGGTTCGTATAACCACCATTGCTTACCTAAGGACTGTCCTCATCCAAATTGGGTCAACCATGCTTCTGGGATGTGTCGGGCGAGGTGCTGTTGGAGCCCCGGGTGAGTTCCTCAGGATTCGCCAGGTCTACTGCCAGCTCCACCCAGGAGGAGGTCACTATGAAGATGTCCAGCCAGTTCCTCGCTTCCCGCCCGACCTTCCCACCCCCAGACGCCCCAAGATGTCCAGCCAGTTCCTCGCTTACATGTCCACCCAACCTTCCCACCCCTCCACCCCCCCCCCACCCCCCACCCCGGACGCCCACAAAAAATATGGGTGAATTATAATATTTCACCAACCTGAAATAAGGTGGTTGGGGGGCTATTCCCCACATAAACCACCATTTGGGGTGAGGTCGTGTGAGGTCGTCATAATTCACCCAGAAAAAAAATACATGCCACCCGCCTCTCTCTCTCTGTATCGCGCCCTCCTGCAGATCACGAACCAGTTTCGCTCATGCGCGCCATGGAGGGACCTCTTTCGCTCATGCGCGGCAGGTTCTCCGTCCAGCTCGGTACTTCGAAAATCCGCGCATCTAAAGGATACTCTGCAGGTTGGCAACGCCCAAAAGGGGGCGTGTTTTGTTGGCTCGTGAAATCTGGGACTGGCACAACGGCTTCTGTCCCAAGAAAGGCCTTCCGAACAAGGTGGCAGTTCAGAAACTGCTTGGGTCTGCCAACGGAGGATTCCCTCGGCCACTCTGTAAGGCCCCCTTGTGAAAACTTGAGTCATTGGGCCGACCGAAAGCTGCTAGCGTTTGCCAGAATTGCGCCTCAACAGATCCTCGTAGCTATCGTCCCCCTGACGCAAAAGAGGAACCAGCAACGTCGAAATGGCAAATCTAGACAAACGGAAAATCACACGTCCCCGGGTGGTAGCACACCAGCTGGACTATGGCACTGGGCCAATGTGTGGCGGCATGTGGCAAAACAAGCTCAAGCAACAAAAAACGATGCCAACTTTCGGGACAACCCCTTCTCGACGACAGTGATATGCTACTTTCTTCTGGCGTCTCCCTCCAAACCACCTCCCATGTTACCAGTCGGCTCATTTGTCGATTCAGTCTCCACCTTGCAAGAGACATCCTTCCATCTACTTTTGTCGAGGGAATCAGGGCTTAGTCGTGGACACCCTGGATTCACCACTACAAGAGGAGGGAAGCAGCACAACCCCCCCCCAAAAAAAGAGACCCGCACTCAAAAAAGGGTCTATCTTCTAAGTCTTTCTTCGCCTATGGAACCAAACTCAGAATGGAATTCATCTGGGTTCATCAAACTCACCCCCCAAAAAGTCCCCTCCAAAACAAAAAGAGGCACCTGTTTTTATCTTTGTTGCTGTTGACCCCCTGCAAAAAGTGAGCTTCACTTTTTTTGGGTTTAGTTCGCAAAACCCCGACTTGATTTCAACCAAAAAGTAAAAGTCTAACGATCCGTTGCCCAATAGCAGTCAAGTACAAGTGGGTTAAACTCGGACACCCAACCACTAAACCAACCAAAAAGGACATAAAACCTCAGGCACCGCCACCAAAACCCCATGGGACCGGTCCCGTTCTTTTGCCAGGCGTCCACATCCAAGAGCTGCCACAGATGTAGCCGCTGAACCCGCTGGCCACGAACTGCAGCAGCGCCTCCAGCGTGAAAAGCACCGCGTAGATCACCTACGGCAAGAGATATAAATAATAATCATTCTAATATATCTGGGTGAATTATAATACTTCACAAGCCTGAAATAAGGTGGTTGGGGGCCATTCCCCACATAAACCACCATTTGGGGTGAGGTCGTGTGAGGTCGCTATAATTCACCCAGATATATGTGTATTCTAATACAATTATTCTCATAATCATTCTAATAATAATATTGCGATCATTATCGTTATTCGTATTACTTATTTGTATGTTATATAATTATCACCATTTGAAGAAGAAGAATACTAAGGATAAGAACAGCAACAACTTATCCAGAATATGATAGTAATTGGTATTATGAGTATTATTATTTTTAGTAGTACCGTTGTTAAAATTATGCCGTTGCTGTTATAAAACAACTCGGCGAGACATTGTTTTAAGACGTCTAAGGGGTCTAAGGGGAGGCCTCGAGCCCTCCAACTTGGGGAATGTGGGAAGGAACCGGTGGACAAAGCTCGAATCATGTTGACCCAGGAATAAACGGGGTGAACACCCCTCCAAAAGTGGTCCGAATCCAACCACTAAAAGGAATTGGACACCCCCCAATCAAAATCAACCAGGGGTTGCTCTTAATCCGGGGTTAACATTAAAGCAAAGAAGTTGGCGATAGTGTTTTTTTGACCTTTCAGCCCCCCTTTTTGGATCTTTTCGGTTTAGTCTTGGTCATGGCCCCGTCTGGTCGTCACCTTCCATTTCTGAGATTCTGGGTCGGCCAGCTGAGATCATGTCTGGGTCGGGCAACTGAGATATCTAGAGATATTCCACTGGTTTTCAGACACATCTGGCTGGTGCGAAGGCAGGGAATGAGAATTGGAATGACCAGCCAACTCGTGGCCACATGCCCAGTGAAGGCCATGTGTTTCCTTTTTTAAAGCTTACCTCTTAAAAACACAACTTTTCAACTTTTTGGGGTAACATGGGCTATATGTCTGTAAAAGGTTAACTTCCCCAAGGCTTGGAGTTTTAAGGGGTAAGAAAGGGATTTCTCTCAGGTCAGCTGCGGGGTGAGTAAGTACCCCGTACACGTTACTTGTACCACAGTAGTTGGAAACCTGTCACTGAAATCAAACATGTCATATGATATAAGACTTGCTAACATGGAAGCTTCCAGGACTTCTTTGGCAGACTTGGTCCCATTTACCTTTGGTCTTCTGGGAGCTTCCATGTTAGTCTAAGGGATCTACCTACCTTTGTCTACCTCCTGTCTTTCTGGGTCCGTTAACCTCTTTCTTAGATGGTGGCGCAAGCGAAGTAAAGAAGGAGTTGCTGAAGATCAACTCGTTCAGGGGATCTATGCTGCAGTGTTTTTGAAGCTCCTCTTCGCGCACATGTTCGGCTTCACCGCTTCACTCCCACGATCGCGCGCACACACGCACACACGCATAAATCTTGGCAACTCCTGTGATGTCCACTCGTGGCATGAGTGGCTTGGTTCTTTGCGTCAGCGCAGCATTGGCAACCTCAACTTTGGCAACTATCAGATGGGGACCGGGGAAGTAGATAGCAGGTTCAGAGACTAGGCTTCTGTCCTTCGCAAATTATTTAGGAAAGGTGGTTCTCAACTTTTCGATAGAACCCTGGGTACAGATCCGCAACTGTCTTTCTTTCCAGGACCTCTGCTCCCCTGGCGAGGCACGTGAAGTGTCTTGAAGATGCTATTGGCGGGGTGGTCCGCGCTGCGATGCACGGCGCTCCACTCCTCATCAGCAAACTGAACTTTCCCAAGCTGGAGAGGAGGCTCGCGGGGTCCCGAGAATCAGTATTTTGACCATTTCTGGGTATCAAAGTCAGAAAGAAACTGGGGTGGTATCCCGTTAATCTGCCACGGGTGGCTTTGATACTGGTAGACTCATGAAGAATGAGGGAATGACCCCGATTTGAACCATCTAGCTAGTGACTTCCTTTAAGGGGAAACCTACCGCACCAGCCGGAGTTTCCCTTCTGTCCGAACTCATCTAGGTCCTCCAGTAGAGAGGATAGAATAAGGGTACCAACTTGTTTCTGTAGTCTATTTTAGCAGGGGAACCCCCCCCCTCAAAGAAAAAGCTAGAATCATTTCTGTAGTCTATTTTAAGTAGGTTAGTAGGGGAACCCCCCCCCAAAAAAAAAAAAAAACGGGGTGAGAGGTGGGGCACCACTCGCTGGACCGAGTTGTCGTCAAGGCGCCAGGTGGACCCCGAGGTACACCGAGTTGGTGAGGATCACCATGGCGAAGAAGGCCCCAGCGCACTGAGAGTTCACCTCGCGCAAACCGCGCGCTCGCCGCGGCTCGCGCGCTCCGCGGCTCGCGAGCCGCGGACGTCTGGTTTCCTTTCTTTTGAAACTCAGGTTCTGCTGGGCTTCTGTGTGGATGTGTTTCTCTCTCTCTCTCTTTTTTTCCTGAAGGTTCCGTTTTTTAAGGGTGTAGCGGGAGGGAAAAAAGGACAACTACTCGTATTTGTTTCTCTCCCCCCCACCCCACCCCTTCTCCTTCTTTTTTCTCTCTCGCTCTCTCTCTCTCTTGGCAGACACGCAGGCTGATTGAGGCTGTTTGCTGCTTGCTCGAACTCAGTGTAAATGCACTACAAGAACACAAGTCAACTGCCCCCAAGAACAGCATGGGCTGTCCGGGCCACTCTCCCACCGAAACCACGAAGCCGCGACCCCGATTTTTTGCAACGGAGCTTAAAATCCCCGCTTCCGGGGAGTCCCGGTGTTGGTGTGAGCCTGCCCCACGAATTTTATAGCAGAAGCATGCAACGTCAAATGCCACCCCTCCGCCCAATTCCCTTTTTTTCTGCAGGGAGCATCTTCTGGTGCGATAGGCAGGGAATGAGAAACGGAACGACCCTTATAAACCTATCCAACTGGCGGTTTCCTTTCCTCGCCAATCCCCAAACAGTTCATCCAACCAATGCTTCGGCCTCATTTCCGGGAAGTGTCTGGGTTCATTCCCTCATTCTTTTACCAACATCGCACCAGCCAAGCGCGAATCTTGCCGGCCAAGCCGCGATTAGCTCAGCCTTGCGCCGGCACAGTCTCCAGCAATCAAGTATGGAGCTGGTCCCTCGGATTGCGCCCGTTTGCAGCAGAACTGAGCAAAACCCCTGAAACTTGAGAAGAAACTACAACTTGCGATCGCTGCGATAGGTAGGGAAGGAGAAATGAAATGAACCCAGGGGTTCCCGAATAAAGGAAACCACAAGTTGGAGGGTTTCTACGGGTTAGTCCATTTTTCATTCCCTCCCTATCGCATCTGCAAGACAAAACCTCAACCAAAGCCTAGAGGACACCTTCCAGGCGCGAGAGCTCTCCGTCGCCTTCGGCTTCTTTGCCATGCCGATCAGCGAGTCAAAGTGTGGCCACTTTGCGAAACTTACGCTGACTCTGCCAGTGCAGTTTGACGGCGCCAGATTTACCGTGCGGATTCACAGCTATCGGGAACCTCGTCGCTGGCCACATGGCAACGCTGACGTCGGAGGGACCCACATGAAGACTGGGCCATCGGGCAACTTGTAACTTGTGACTTTCCTGGAAGGCTGAGCGCGGGGCATGGCTCGCACATGACCCAACTCTGGCCAGAAGCAAGGCCCCAACTCGGTTGCTTTCTGCTCCCCTGCTAGAAGTGACTAATATTTTTAGTGGTTTAATACGGAAAACCCATCAGTTGGCAGAAAGTTATTCAGTCCTGAAATCCCTTGGCAAAATGCAACAAAGCCAACATGAACCGTGGTTTTTCAGGCGCGTGCTCTTTGGCCGCCAAAGGCCATGGCCATCTCAAATTCACCCGCCCACGCAATTTCGGCAGAGGAGTATCGTTTTTTCTGTAGTCTACTTTAGTAGGGGAACCCTCCCAACCAAAAAAGGGTAAAAGGGCACTACTGGGGGACCTAGTTAAAAAAAAAAAAAAAAACACAGAAACGCGAAAGTAAAGCCGAGACATATGACATATGCGTCGCGATGTCGAAATCTCCTTTCGCACACGATTTTCGCCGAGCTTCGGTCGTTCAACTCCCTGCTGTGGGTGCCCAGCAGACGGAAGGCCTGAAGAGGGGGCCTATGGGTAGATTGGAAAACGGAACCCAACATCCTGCAGAGGTTAAAATGGAATGCTGTTTAGGGGAGGCTTCTTTTGGAGCACCCCTTCATCCCCCCTACCTTAAGGGAGAGGCTGAGAGGGTTGTTTTCATGCTAATTCCATTTTTCAGGTTGCCATAAATGGAGATCTACCCAACTCCCCATAACTCCCCTCCCCCAAAACTCCATTCTAAGGGACCCGGCAGGGATTCCAATTCCTTGTTGGCTCCCTGTTTTGCTGGCCTGCGACACCTTCTCGCCCAGCGCCTTTGCCAAATCCTTAGCGGGCTCAGAGCCATCCCAAACCCATCTAGGCTATGTCTCAAAGAAACTTGGACGGAACAAAGGACACAGACACCGACACGGACACAGACACGGACACAGACACGGACACAGACACAGACACGGACACGGACACAGACACGGACACGGACACACGGACGCAGACACAGACACGGACACGGACACAGACACCGACACGTACACAGACAAAGACACCGACACAGACCCAAACACAGACACCGACACAGACACGGACATGGACACCGACACACCGACGCGGACACAGACACAGACCACGGACACAGAGACCGACACAGACACGGACGCAGACACGGACACCACAGACACAGACACCGACACAGTCACGGACACGGACGCGGACACCGACACCGACACAGACACGGACACCGACACAGACACGGACACAGACACCGGAACAAACACGGAAACGCACACCGACACAGACACGGACACGGACACAGACCGACGCGGACACGGACACGGACACAGACACAGTCACAGTCGCAGACACAGGCATCGAAATGGACACGGACACAGACACAGACACACACACACACACGGACACGGACACAGACACAGACATAGACGCAGACACCGGCATGGACACCGACACCGACACCGACACGGACACAGTCACAGCCAAGACACGACACGGCCGCAGACATCGACACGGACACGGAAACGGCACGGACACAGACATGGACACGGACACGAACACGATCACGGACACAGACACACGGACACCGACACGCACACGAATACGGACACAGACAGACACAGGCACAAACGCAGACACCTACATGGACGCACCTACATGGACACCGACACCGAGACGGACACAGACACAGACACGGACACAGACACGGACACAGGCACAGACATCGACACAGACCCGGACACGGACACAGACACGGACACGGACACAGACACGGACACAGACACTGACACACACAGACACCGACACAGACACGGACGCGGACATGGACGCAGACACAGACACGGACGCGGACGCGGTCACAGACACCGACAAGGACACGGACATAGACAGAGACACAGATGCAGGCAGACACCAACACCGAAACCGGCATTGACACCGACACAGAAACAGACACGGACACAGTCACAGACGCAAAGACACGCAGACACGGAGACACGGAGACACAAACACACACACACACACACACACAGACATTTCACACAGACACCACACAGACACACAGACACCACACAGACACACACACACAAACAAACAAACAAACAAACAAACAAACAAACAAACAAACAAACAAACAAACAAACAAACAAACAAACAAACAAACACCACACAGACACACAGGCACACACAGACACACACACACACACACACTGACACGACACAAACACACTCAGACACCACACTGACACACACACAGACAGACACCACACAGACACACACACACACACACACACAGACACCGCACAGACACACACACAGACACACGCACAGACACACGCACAGACACACACACACACAGACACACACACACACACAGACACACACACACACACACACACACACGCACAGACACGCACAGACACACAGACACACACAGAGACACACAGACACACACACACACACAGAGAGAGACACACACAGACACACGAGACACACAGAGACACACAGAGACACACAGAAACCACACAGAGACACATAGAAACCAACACAGACCTCAACACAGACACCACACAGACACACAGACGCACAGACCACACACACACACACAGACACAGACACACAAACACACACACAGACACAGACACAGACACACAAACACACACACACACACACAGACTGTCACACAGACACACAGACACACAGACACACACACAGACACAGACAAACAGACACACAGACACACAGAAACACAGACACACAGACACACAGACACACACACACAGACACAAACACAGACACAGACACAGACACAGACACAGACACAGACACCAACACCGAAAACCGGCATTGACACCGACACAGAAACAGACACGGACACGGTCACAGACGCAAAGACACGCAGACACGGAGACACGGAGACACGAACACACGGACACACAGACACACAGACACACAGACACAGACACAGACACAGACACAGACACAGACACAGACAAAGACAAAGACAAAGACAAAGACACACACACAGACACGCACAGACACGCACAGACACGCGCAGACACACACAGAGACACCCACACACAGACACACAGGCGCACACACACACACAGACAGACACACACACACACAGACACACACTTGGTTTCGCTGCGGAGTTTCGCCCTCCTCCGGGAGTGGGCTCAGCAGAAGGATGCTCCCCGGAGGTTCTCAGACACCAACACGGACACCACCACACAGACACACAGACGCACAGACGCCACACAGACACACGGACGCACAGACACCACACAGACGCACAGACACCACACAGACGCACAGACACACAAACACACAGACACACAGACACACACACACAGACACAGACAAACAGACACACAGAGACACAGACACACAGACACACAGACACACACACACAGACACAGACACAGACACAGACACACAGACACAGACACAGACACAGACACAGACACAGACACAGACACAGACACCAACACCGAAAACCGGCATTGACACCGACACAGAAACAGACACGGACACGGTCACAGACGCAAAGACACGCAGACACGGAGACACGGAGACACGAACACACGGACACACAGACACACAGACACACAGACACAGACACAGACACAGACACAGACACAGACACAGACACAGACAAAGACAAAGACAAAGACACACACACACACACACACACACACACACACACACACACACACACACACACGCGCACACACACACACACACAGACACGCACAGACACGCACAGACACGCACAGACACGCGCAGACACACACAGAGACACCCACACACAGACACACAGGCGCACACACACACACAGACAGACACACACACAGACACACACTTGGTTTCGCTGCGGAGTTTCGCCCTCCTCCGGGAGTGGGCTCAGCAGAAGAATGCTCCCCGGAGGTTCTCAGACACCAACACGGACACCACCACACAGACACACAGACGCACACACAGACGCCACACAGACACACGGACGCACAGACACCACACAGACGCACAGACACCACACAGACGCACAGACACCACACAGACACAGGCCAATACGACAAGGTGCGTAGCTATCTACGGTCTCGCTGCGCCATGTTCGCTGTTGCCAAGGCCCCCCCACTAGGTCTGCTGACCCGGGCGATGCCTGAGCTGTGACGAAACCGAACACTTTCTCTCAGAAAGGCCTCGAGCCCTGTCGGCCCCAGGCCAAGTTTCAAGTCCGCCCGGCCTTTGGGGTCTGAGGGAGTGTAAAAAGCTTCCAGAAGCCTTCGTGTTTCTTTGCAAGTGAGAGCATTCCTCTTTCTTCGGAATCCGCCGGAACCTGCCTGCGCCATGGAGTCGTTCTCTGCATTGTTCCTGCGATCGGATCTTTCGGCCCACGCATGGATTAGAACCCAATCTCAGTTGTTCAGTGGCCCTGGAGAAAAAAACGGAACCCTTTTTGCGGAACACCATTTTTAGTGGGGTAGCCACCCAAAAAAAAGGGGAAAAGGGTGCCACTGAACAACTGAGCAACGGAAAAGGCAGTGGAAGTTTTTTGTCGATGTTTAACCAAACAAACTCAAGAGGACAACCATGAGCACCTCAAGACACTTGTTGCCCCCAAAACCCCCCTCTTCCACAGGCAAGGCCCGTTTCCGACCGCAACCTGCCTTGTGGAGGCCATCCGGCCAATCGACGACGTCTCTCCCGTGGACCAGAACTCCTCCTCGTTCACGCTGCCGTTTCTGCGCACCTCGCCGTTTCTGCCGCCGGCCAGGCACAGCTCCAGCCTCTGCAGCCACGCCTCAGCGGTTTCAGAGGTTTCCAGTTTTCTGCGCTGGAACATGAACACCCCCTAACCCCCCCCCCCCCCCAGCTTGAATCCCCTGAAAAACTCGGACCCCACAACCGGAAGCTTCTACCAAGACGCATCCAAGCGCTCTACTATCCTTTCGTCGTGCTGCTGCAGCATCTGCTCCAACCAGCCTGGCGACCGCTCGCGCCCGAGCAAGGTCCAACTGTAAGAGATTGGAACCCCTGCTAAAGGTTGAAAACCCATGAGTTGGCAAAACGTTACTCAGTCCTAACATCCCTTAGCAAAATGCACCAAAGTAAGCAGCATCCTCCTGATACCTTTGAAGTCTTAGACCTCTTCCCAGGTCGCTACTACCTGGAGAACGGCTTTTTGTTGCATTTACCAGTCCCGCACTTGTTTTGCCACAAATGGAGCAAACATTTGTGCAAATGGGTCCAAGTAAATAGCATCCTTGAGATACCTTAGCCGGTGCCCCCCAGAAGCCGCGATTGCCTTCGCCCACTACCAAGAAAGCGGGGCATGCCGTGGGCCTTTGCGACGAGTTCTTAGGAAGGCCTACAGAAGTCCCCAAGCCAGGGAAAAAACTAGAACCACGGGTGGCCCGAAAGCATAATGGAAAGTGACCAAAGACCAGCAAAGTGAGCCGACATGCAGGGGTGCCAGTGGAGTGGTTGCTCAAGAGTTGGTGTTGCATGTGCGCGCGTGTGCGTGTGTGGGTGTGTGTGTGTGTGGGTGTGCGTGCGTGGGTGTATGTGTGTGTGTGCACGTGTGTGCACGTGTGTGCGTGCGTGCGCGTGTGGGTGTGTGTGTGTGTGGTGTGCGTGGGTGGTTGGGTGGGTGGGTGTGTGCGTGCGTGTGTGTGTGTGTGTTTGTGTGAAGGTGTAGGTGTGTAGGTGTCGGTTTCACGCACGTGTGTCTGCTTCCGTTTTCTCATTCGCAAGTGGCTTTCGACAGAACTGCATAGCTCGCCGTGCGGCTCCGCACAGACCGCGTCCGCCGCCGGCGGACGAAACCTCGTCAGCGCGTGTGGCTGCGAGCAGAAAGCATGACGTGTCTTTAGACTTCTGTGAGTAGAACATCGTCGCGTGCTCTCTCCAACATCTTCAGCACCCACAGGGTGTAGTCGCGGCCGCTCCACGGCCGCAAGGAAGGTCTCGCCTGAAGAAGCCGCGCGACGGCGGCCTCCGCGGTCATGCCGTGCGCCACAATGAACGCAGTGCATCAAGACATTGCAAGGCTCTCCAGCTTGAGCGAGTTCTTGTCGAAGCTTGCGCAGCCTGCTGCAGGCAGTCACGCAAGCATCGAAGAGGGCGATCGCCCTGTGCTCGAAGTCCCTGGATTGCGGGCAGGCGCAGGCCCGACGTCTTCCAAAGAGATGCCGATGTGGAGATACCACGCTTTCCGAAGTACGCCGTCCAGTCTGGCGGTGCACCCTTCATCTCGAGTCAGGCCAGACAACTCGCCCTGCAGCCAGTCTGCTCCATGCTCGGCAAGACAACTCGCTCTGCAGTCTGCTCCATGCTCGGCAAAACCCTGCCGCAAACGAGCAACTGAAGGTGTAGGTGCCGAAGAGGACGAACTTGCTGCCTGACATGGAAACATGAAATCCATCAACGAAAACAAAACCAAAAACACCAACCATGAACACTTTTACCCGATCTAGCCCCCCAAACAGAACTCGCCAAGGCGCTACCCCAGCGGGTACCAAGTGAGCCCGCAGTTTAGCGATCAGCTCGTCCTTGGCGAGAAAGTGGCCAGCTTCTTTTTGAGGCAAGCCCTCTCCGGACGCGAGCGTTCGCAGATCCTTCACCGTCAATCCAGACAACTTGTTCTGCAACCAGCCTGCTCCATGCTCAGCAAAACCCTGGCGCAGACGAGCCACTGACGAAGAGGAAGAACTCGCTGCCTGACGTGGAAGACATAGAATCCACCAACGAAAACAAAAACACCAAGGTGAACAAAACGTGCCACCAAAACATTTTGAGCCGCGAGCTTGGGGTGTCGCAAAATGATGAAAAAGCGCAGTGGCCAGTTCCTCTCTGGGAACAAAATGGCCAGAAACCTGCTGAGGTACGCCAGCAGCGACAGCCAACTTGCAAATTCTTTAAGGACGAGTTGGCAAGTTCGCTCTGCAGCCATTCGGCTCCATGACTAAAATAACCTCGCTGCATGAAGGCTCCGCTGGCGTAGGAGCACCCTGCGCCAGCCGAGCCTTCATGGCTAGATTCACATTGCGATCGACGCACAGGCCGCGGCAGACCCAAGATCCCTTGCTCAACTGTCCTCGCATCTCCCTTTTTTGAAACATGGAAATGCTGCGGCATAAACATGCAATGTCACAAAGGCATCTCTGAAACTCCTCATGCATCAAAGAAAAGCAAATCAAGCCGACATGCGGGGATGCCAGTGGAGTGGTTGCTCAGGAGTTGCTGTTGCGTGCGCGGACGCGTGCGCGTGCGCGTGCGCGTGTGCGCGTGTGCGCGCGTGTGCGTGTGTGCGTGTGCGCGCGCGTGCGTGTGCGCGCGCGCGTGCGTGCGCGCGCGCGTGCGCGTGTGCGCGCCTGTGTGCGCGTGTTCGCCCCTGTGTGCGCGCGTGTGTGCGCGCGTGTGCCCGCGCGTGCGGGTCCGCATAC